GCTAAAAGCCCAGGAATACTGCTATAGCCAGAGTTGTACGCTCTGATGGGAAGGGTGAGCTAAAAAATTCTGCTGTCATTTACACAATCACAGGAAAAGCAGATGTGCTGCTTCCCAGCCATGTCTTCTGCTTGCCTGAAAGTTTATAGCAAACTCCTTCTCTTCCCTTTCTGACAGATTTCGGGTGAAGCAACCACCTCCATACACAGGACTGAGCGTGCTGTACACACCTGGGCCTGTAAGTAGTACAGAAAGTCTTCTGTTTTATGCTACATTCATATGACTCTGATGATGATGCCATAACAGCTGTCTGGGAGTAGACCATGTAGTTGTAAATAACTTCAAAGTTATTTAAAGTGATGCTGCCTTCTGCTCTCTCTGCTGTTTTCTACACTGTGTGCCTCAGAACATGCCCAGAATACTGTGACCCTATCTCCAAGTTTTTCCCGTTGTTTACAGTATTTTTTAGAGCTGCTATCTCTTAGGCCTGCACTTTTATCTCCTGTCCTGATATCTGCAAGAGTTGAACCAAGTAAATTGTTGCCTCAGTAATTTTCTCTTGCTTGCAACTATCCTCCATCATGTCTTTTTTTCCCTGCAAAGCACCTCAGCACATGAAACTGTCCCATTAAGTAGAAAGCTTTCACACTTTCTGCTTTTCTTCAGTATCTCTTCACCTGCTCGTTATATCTTTTTTATTTTCTCTCAGTTGTCCCAGTTTGCCTTTTGCCTATAGAACCTGAAAGAAAATTTAAGAAGAAAAAATTGCAATGAAACAAAAAACAAACAAAAAAAGACCTGGCAGTTTTCTTTCAAACTGTAGTGTGAAGAGCCACTGCTTTATACAGACCTTTCTCATGATACAGGTACTCAGTACTCCACTAAGTCTCTCATTTCATCAGACAACACAGAACAAGAATCAACTGGAAGCACTGGTGGAGTGGCTATGTATGGAACATGCACCTTGTATATCAGCAGTCCTCTCTCTCTCTCTCTCTCTCCCAGGTGGCAGCAGGACTGCAGGTTGAACTGGAGATAGAAATTTTTGCCATGTCATGTACTAATGGCTTTGAAGAAATTTCCCATGATATTGAAATAATAACAGAAACAGAGACTCTTTTGCTGCCTGTGAGGGCAAATATCCTTTGCTGTCTTACTTCTCCCCCTCCACACCCACCTTCTAGCACCATCACACTGAGGACTGACTACCTGGCAGGAGCCTTGAGAATCATTTCCTTAAGCTTTACTGTCCTTTTTGGAAACACCAGATGAATGTTTTCCAAGGCATAAATGAAGAATTTAAGATTCTAACCCCAAAAGCAATTTAGATAAAGTAACAAGACTTAGAAAAACAGGGAAAGGAGGAATGGTAAGGCCAGAAAAATGTGGGTATTAAGAACAAATAAAAGACTTTGTTTCCACTTTCCACTGAGAGAAATCTTTTGTCACAGTTTTGAATCATAGAATTGTTTGAGTTGGAAGGGACCCTTAAAGGTCATTTAGTCCAACTCCCCTACAATAAACAGGGACATCCACAGCTAGATGAGATTGCTTGGAGGCCCCATCCAACCTGACCATAAATATCTCCAGGCACAGGGCAGCCACCACCTCTCCAGACAACCTGTTCCAGTTTCTCACTGCTCTTATTGGAAAAAGAGAACAAAACAAAAACACCACAACTTTTTTTCTTATCTCCAATCCACATTTGCCTTTTTTAAATTTGAAACCATTTCCCCTTGTCCTGTTGTAGCAGACCGTGCTGAAGAGCCTGTCCCATTCTTTCCTATAGCCTGCTTTTGGTGACTAAAAGGCTGCTCTCAGGTTTTCCCAGAGCCTTCTCTGCTCTGGGCTGAACAGCCCTACCTCCACAGCCTGTCCTCATAAGGGAAATAAAACATATGGCAGCATTTGATGGTACAGCCTCATACATTAAACAGGCAAGAGAGAGAATTGCTGTGTCAGCAATTGTGAACACAGAATTGTATGAATCTTGCCAGAAATCAGCCCTGTGTGGGCTCAATGAACTTTTAAGTTGGTTAGTCCCAAAGAAAGGAAGAATTCAGGGTCCTTTGAGACTGACTGGAGCACTAGTTAACGGCAACTGCATCAAGGTTTTATATGCTCTGGGAGGTCTTTCAGGTGTGTAACTGAGGAACTGGGCTAGACAAACCTGGTGGCGTAGAAGCAAAAACGGTTTCTGCTCCATTCCCACTCACCCAGACATCAGTCACTCACTTCTGCAAGACCACCCTCCAAAACAAGCACCCTCGCCCAGTATTTTACTTGGCCTTTAATCTTTGAGTTGAGGCCAGCAGTTCAGATTCAATGTCTCACAGCCTTACTTCCAGAGTTCCTTCCAGCCTCCAGCCATATTCTTTTAGTTATATAAACGTACAGAGATGATTCAATCCTTAGCATAATATTTCACCTGTGTTAAGAAGTGACATTTACGAGTGCCGCCCACAAGGATACCCCCAGGGTGGGATGGCAGCAGCAGTCCGGGCAGTTCCTACAAGCCCCAAGCCACGGGTCCGGATTACTCTACCCCGAAAGCTTTCAAGCTAATGTAAGTATTGCATGCAGTGCTGCCAGCTGTGAATTAAATGGCAGATGTACCTTCTCTTAGCTTCTGATCCACAGCATCAACAAGCCTGATGCTACTGCCAGCAAAGCTGTCACACACACATCACACACTTGACCTGAGACAAGAAAAAGGATGCACTGGGTGACATTCTTAACAAAAAGATCCACTGTGAGAGATTTACAGATTACTGTGGCTGTTCTGCTCAGTGGAGATACAGTAGAACCTCCCCAGCCCTGTCCCAAATCCTTCATTTAATTGTCTCCACATTAAACAGTAGATTGAGCCTTCTGGCAGCAGGCAGCTAGATTTATTTCAGTTTAACACTCTTCCTAAAACCACATCTTATTGCTGACCCTTTGACACTGACAGCAAGCCTACTAAGGGACAGAGGCCTTACAGACAGACACAACTTGACGTGTTCCAGCACACATCACCCTCTGCACACATTTTGTACAGAACATCTCTGTATCCTAAATGAAACAGTGTCCATACATGGACAGTGGACAGTGGGCACATCTTCTCTGCCAACAAGACAGCCTTACTGGGAATTTCTCATAAACCACTGACCAACATGTTAAGCATTGGGCTGGTGTTTCATCTAACCCACATCAACTCAGGTGCTCTACAATATAGCCAAATGTGACAGTTCATAAACAGAAATCCTGTGGATGTTTCTTCTCTACTCAGCTTAGAGTGCCCATTTGTTACACTGACATCATCTTTCTCTTTCAACTTTACCATCTGTAAGCCTGCTATGTTATCTAACAAGTCAGTAAAGAAATCCCAGCTGTATCTCATTTCCGCTCCTCTGGAGGAAAAAAAAAAAGACCACATCAGTCAGTTCTCAAAAGAACTTCAGAGAGATGTGCACCTCTGACTGCTGCATCTGTTCTAGGACTGCCCTGATTACTTCAAGCATAGCTTTTTTCCTGTTTAAATATCTTCTTACCCTTTCAATATGGAATTTTACCTCCAGAATAACAAACAGTTGTATCTAGGAAGAATAGCAAATTTAACACCTTCCATCTTAGCAGCTTACAACGTGTTGCTCATCAGTTAAGGCAGTTGAGACAAACCTCTCTCGCTCCGTTTTGAAATGGAACAGAAGTACTCACCTAGTCTGACTCCTCCCTTTCCCAACTCAGCCCACCACAGCCCTGCACCAAAATACAGCTGTTGGATCATCCCTGTACACCAGGTATTCACTAATCTACTTTTCCTTGCCAAGCCTAAGCTCTGGAAATTCTGATCAGTGTCACTTTCCATTAAAAGTTCCAAGTGGAAAGAAATTACTATGGTATTCATCTCCCACCTGACTCTTCCAGATAATTGTGGAGACTGCTTTCCTTGTTGCCGTTACTGCAGTTTGATCTCCTTCCATTCTAGCAAAGCCTTTGTGTGAATGGATTGATAATTCCTACTGATTTATCAATTATTAGCCACACCCCACTCCTCAAGCAGCTGAACCAAAAGCCTCTTTGAACATTCTTCCCTAAAATACCTCCTGGGCTCAAAATCCTGTCCATCTTCAACACATCAAAAATCAGCATTGATGGAGGTCAGAAAACACTGACACTTCTATGTTAAGTCTTGTTCGGCTTCGCCAAGACAGAAGTAAAGTCTTTGCAGAGTTATGTGACAACTTTTTAAGTCTGCATCACGTTTCTTAAGTGATTACTATCACTAGAACCAATATTATTCTTTCCCATGACACCTAGAAACTTCCCTTGCCTAGAACTGATCACAAGTTTGCCACACCTCCCAGCAGAGACCAAGAATCAAAGATCGCCAATGAAGCAACAGCAGCCCAGGCTCAGGCATTTCTTTTACTTTTTCTCAAGTTTAAAACATTTCACAAAGATTCTCTTAATACACTCAAAATGAAATACTGCAGAGGAAGCTGCCAGTGAATGCCTTCAGTATTCCCATGCAGATTGCCCAGCTTGAACTCCTGGTCATGATTTTTATTCCACTCTATTTATGAAATAAAAACAAACCCTTAATCTAGTTTAAGCCTATGCGAGAACCCGTTTTCATCTTGTTCCCTTCCAACAGCAACAGTACAGGCCAGTTCTACTGAAGGCAGCCTGACATAATTATGGTGTTTCAACAACCGTACAGAAGTAGACCTTTTTATTATTATTATTTTACGTTTATTTCCTCTCATGTTAATTTTCTCTTTCCCTACAGGTCAAAGCCTTGGAAGAATGATGTAAAAAGCAGCAATATTGAATTACCCAAATTTTAGTCTAACGTTATGGAAACATTCCCAGTGTACACTTTTTCATTTATTCAATCAAATTAACATGAATGAAAATTTTGTCTGTCTCTTATTCATGGGAAAGTTGGTCTGAAAGTTGCAGTGCCTTCTGTGGCTGCCTGAAATGCTAACAGTTGGAACGATCGTGGAATTTCAATCCCCGTGTTTGACACTCTGCACTGCAAGAGTGCTGAATGCTTCCTGATAGGTTTATTTTGTTTTTAAAAGAGATTAGGTTTCTGTAGCCACCCTGAAGCACCTGAACCCCCCCCCAAGTACCAGGCATGCAGCAAGTTTCACTGAAGTGTGACTCTTTGAGTAAGTAACTGTAGCAAGTGCTGCTGATTTGCTCTGGCCTTCTAATTCCTCCCTTTCTGCTTGCTTTCAGTCTGAGGCTCAGCTTTCTGCACACAGACTGCTCACTTACCTTTAATTTTCTTCAGATGGGGGCTGAGCACACAACGTTATACTTGAAAGGAATTCTGTTTGAAGACAAGCGGATATAAAGGTTCGCTTTATCAGAGTGGAAGACTGAACCACTTAGAGGTGCTATTTTCCCTTTTTTGTTCCTACTTATGCAACAGTCACTAAAAGAAACAGCCTCTTTAGGAGATACCTTATTCTTACTATTAAGTACAGTTCTGCATTTGTTTTTTAAATGAATTCTAATGGCTTGATTTCCTGTGCTTCATCCTTTTTCCAGTACCTAACATCCTAAGAAATAGGGAGTTTTCCCCAGTATATGCAGATGAATTTAAACATTTTCTGGTGACTGAGAAGATTATGACTGGGGATTAAACAATAACTTTCACTGCTATAGAGAACATAAGTCAAAGACTGGACAGTCAATAACAACTTGGATGCAATTAAAAATTCAGATGATGTTCATGTTAGAAAGATCAGCTTTGAGAACCTGAGTCAGACCTGTCAGTCTAAAAGTATTACTTTTTAGAACAAAGTGCCCCAGAAGCAGCCCCCACATCTACCAAACCTGATCACTGGGATAAAAGGGCAGCATACACTAAAAACTGATAACTGACCAACAGGAGCAGAGGCCTGCCCACTTAAATCATTTGTATCTGATACAGGACAAGTACGACTTGTATCTGCTCCCGTATATTGGAAGTTGCACAGAACTGTTGCAGGACAGCACAAATAAGCCCACACTTCTCATGCTTCATCTGCCAGTTGTTCAGAAGAGCACAATCCTTCACAGCAGCCCTTTCATTTTCTCCAGCATGTTTTACTTTCTGGAAAAAAAACAATTCCTTAAGAACCAATAAAATAGAATGAGATAGTCAAGGATTTACTAAAAAAATATCAGGACAAAATTCCATAGACAAAGTTGTTTGATAAAGCATATATAAACATTATTTAATAGAGCACAGTGTTTCCTCCATTCCACTGAAAAGTCAGTGGTTGGAGATGACTTCTGAAGTCTCAAAGCCTTGCCCACAGCCTCTACGCACTTCCACAAACCATCAGCAGGTGTCAAAGCAGCACAAATGTTGCCAGCTGCCTCCTCGGGACAGGATAAAGTCTGACCAGCAGCCCATGTGCTGATTCACCCCATTCAGTTAGCACACTGCCAGCAGGCTGATCTCTTCTGGAGAAGAAACCAACTCCAATTCTGTCAGGCATTCTGGTAGAGGAAAGGCATTGACCTTTGACAGCCACCTCAGAAACAGCTGAAATGGATACATACAGAGCAGAGCACAGACAGCTCATCTCATTAGGCAGAGGCAATCAACCTGTGCTGGCACTGTCTCCAGCCAGGCAAGGCTGGCTATCCCACAAGAAGAAGGGACAGGCTTTGTTCCAGTCACCAAATATCACAGAGACGTTCAGCCACAAGAATAGGTCCATGGCCAGCACTGAGGTTAATTGATGCCATCCAGCTGCTCCAGGCAGCAAATGCTAAACCACTGCAAGAATCATTTTCTCTTTCTTCTTCCTCTTTCTCTTCTTCTCCTCAAAACGGTCTGTAGCATCAGCAAAAAACATGACCTCATCCTTGGCCTCAATCTCTCTCTTGAGGTACTGGAGCCCTGCCATGTTGAATCCCAGCACATCCTGTTGAGACAGACAAGCACCGTGCTGTTGGGCACATCTCCAGCTTGTTAGGAGGTACAAGCTGCTTGGAACAGGTGATATCTGGTCACTCTCAACTGAGAGATGATGAAAGCAAGACAATCCCCCACAGTTAATTAAGCCAACAGTACTTAAATGTAAATTTCATCTGAGCAGGTGAACAACCTGCGCTCTGTTCCCCACATTTTTGTTAAAAATAGCTATAATTCACTATGTCCTAAAAAACAAGTTGTTATCAACCACCTGAAGACGTTCCGGGGAAAGGTATTTAAAAGATTTGTAGCCCACAAGACGACAAATAAAAATAGAGTTAATTTACTTCCCACGTATACTAGAGACCCAAAGCACAATTACATGCATCAACAAAAAGCCAAAGTAAGAAGGGAGAGGGAGGAAGAGCGCATAAAGGATCATCATTGCATAGTGTCACATCAGGAAAATGTAGCCTGTTTGCACAGGAAGAAGGTGAAAATGGGCTCTAGACCCCCAAACAGCTTTCCTGCTAGACCGCAAATGCTTCCAGACATTGGCCAATACTGCTATGCCAGACTCTGGAGAAGGAGAGGCAGCAACACTCACCCGGGCCTCACTGACTCTGGAGATGGTGGTTTTCTTCAAATTTTCTATCACTGTCACCAGCATCTGGTTGCTTGTTATCTGCCCAAAATGTATCCTGGGGATGAACACAGGACCAGCAACTGACATCAACACAGGCATGTCAGCACCCTGCATCTTGTTTAGCCCACTCCCAGATGATCAGCTGCAGGTGAGGGATGCAGCAATTCCTCATTTCCCACATCTTTATTCCCAAGAGACCACACCTTTATTCCCAAGGTGGCTTTCCAGGAGCTTCAGAGCCAGAAACTTTAAAAGCCCAAATTTTCCCCACACACTTAAGCTGCACATGTTCACAGTGCATCACATAGTCTTTACAGCTTCAAGAGAAAGAGTATATTCCCCAGCTCTTGTGCTGTCCCAGGGCACTGCCTCACAAGAGGAATGAGCACCTTTCTTTTCATGTAAGTGGCACAAAGTGAGTTCATGACACAATATAGAGGGGCCCTGAGGAACAGGCAGACCCACCACTGACCAGAGCCTTCCTCACATTCAGGATTTGGACAGTAATGACACTGAACTTAGACCAGCAGACCTGTCTGTGCAGATGGAAGACTCACTTGAGCAGGAAGAGGAGAGCACGGCACAGGAGTTCAACTTCTGCACCCAAGTGAATATGTTCATTGAAGAGTCTGAGTAGGTCAGGGACATAGGAGAAGGGCAGCACCAGGAGAGACTCTTCCAGCTCACTAAGAAGAAGCAAAGGGATGCTAACAATAGTCTCAGCTACTGCAGAGCTATAGATGAGCAAGAAATGTTTCGATGTGGGAAGATTCTGACACAAAAGCTGTGCTGAATGCTCCCCACTGCTGGCCTGTGCCTGCCCACAAAGCACAGTGAATCTGCACAGCCCAGGGCCCCTGGCAGCAGGCATCTTCTGACACAAAGAAGGCACAGCATTCCATCCTCAGCATTCCCAAGTTCCTCTTCACATACACATACATCTCCAGGCAGCCAACACCTACACACAAACTTCATTGAATACTCCTCACGGACAAACTCCCACTCCCCAGTTCCAGACAAAGGCTGCCAGAGAGCAACCTCCACTCTTCAATACCACCCACTCAGCACAGGAGTCCAACACAGGACCCCAACCAACCCTGGACTCAGAAATCCAATTCTTTAGCACAAGCCTGTTCAGCAATAAGACTCTTGGGACTTACCTTGACTTGACCTTCTTGAAAACTTCTAGCACGTACTCAGAGGGCTGTAACAGAGGAAAGACAACAGCTCTGCACATCAAGAAACATTCCAAGACAAACACGTACCTTTGAGGCTCATTTTGCCCAATTAAAAACACACAATTACATCTTGTGAGATGGATAGATCCATCTGAATGTAACAAACAAAAAAGAAACCCCTTCAGCTCCAACCAACTACTGGTCTTGAAAGTTCTCCCTCCATAAAACAGAAACCCAGCCTTCTCAAAATACACCAAACTGGTGAAGATATATTGGGAAAAAAATTATATAAGAACAGACAATATATACAAAACTTTACACAAACTCATCTCCAAAGATTTAATAATTCCTCCCCATTCCTGTTTATCTTCTTAAAGTATTCAGCAAATGCAGAGCTGCCAAGTGCCAAAGAGAAGTGTCTCAATACGAGGTCATAGGATCTCATTCACTTCTGTTCAGTGTATGCAACGTATAATTAACTACAACTATAGTCAGAGAGAAAGGGACAGGATGTAAAAAAATGTAAATTCTATATGAAAAGAAACAGGCTCAGTAAAAGCTGTACCAATTCCCTAAAAATAAACCCTGTGTCAATTACAACACAGCCCTGCCTTGCTCAGCATTGCCCTGCCCAATTGATTTCAGGTCAGAAAGCCTTCAAAATGCCTCCACTTCCTGCTCGAGTCAAAGCAATACAGTTGATACACTGGGTCAAGTGTCCCACATGCAAAGTCTGTCCCAAAAAGATGATCATAGACCATCGTGGCATGAAGTACTTTTGTTCAAGATTTGACACTGTAAATGCTCACTATGGTCAGCTCATCACATAACAGAATGTGTCTTGTAGTGTTTTTACCCAGCACCAGCACTTGGGCATTCCTCAAGAACCTTCTCTGTACAAAGCAAAAAAGTTGCTACTACTAAGCCACAGAATTTCACTCACCCCTGTTAAATCTATTTACTTTGCAGTTAAATATGCCTATATTTACAGAGGAAGGGGGGAGAATGGTTCTGATTAAGTGCTTATAAGTGTCAAGTGGCCAGGGGTGCACAATGACATTGGTTCTCAATTACCCATTCCACTGGAGGCTCAGGTATTTTGTATCTGATGGCACAGCTCCCCTGAATATTCTGTAGCATGGCAACCACAATCTCTTGCCAGAAGCATGCATAGGAAGATTTTAACTAGCTTCCTGTTGCTTAGAGGAACCATAACAACTGGCTCCAACTCTACATGATAAGGTCAAGACTACCATCAGGGTTATGTTCGGCTGCTTTACTTTTATTACACTCATATAAAAGAAAGTAAAAATATATACTATGTTCACTTTGCATAAATCCTGTCTTCCCATTGCAATCCAGTGTTCTGGCTCAGCCAGCAAATCAAACAGCCTCATTCCAGTTGATGATAGCACATGACCCAAGGCCTGAGCTTTCCACTTACTGTAATATTTCCATAGGCACGAAGAATGGGATTGGCAGGAAAGGGAACCTGGAGACACAGAATGGGTTAGGATGAGGCAGGTTATTCAGAGTGAAAAACGCATATTCACAGTGAAAGACAACCCACAGTAGAAGACAGTTTTTACCCAGTGTCTTCCCTCTTCAGAACCTCACTGAAGGCCTCACTTGCAACTGCAGGACAAGCTACTTCTCAGATATGTATGAATAACTCAAAATGCGTACGAATTTTCTTCCACTTCTTATTGTCACATATATCACAGACCCTTGTTTAGCATGAAGTGTTGAGATGAAGGCAAAGAATAGGCAGTGTAATGGGAGCATGGTCAGCAGCACAGTTCTTACTTACTTCCTACTGTGACTTTCAACATAAAAATCCTCAGAAAGAACACACCACTAACCATGCCTCAGGGTACAGTGCCATCTGTCCTCTGTAAGATTTCAGCAAATCTCTGCTTCTTCCAGCTGTCCTGCCTTTATCTGCATACTGAGCCTTCCCACCAAGATGCTAGAGTTGGAAAGATACACCCACACACCTCAGGAATTGTACTTTCTTTAGTCATTTACCTCTTTTCCAGCAGCTTTACATATGGCCTTGTGCTCCTTCAGTTTTGCCATCTCTTCTCTATACAGCTCAATAGCTTCCATGATCCGCTCAGTCTGTGCAGCACAGGAACAGAACCATCAGTCACAAAGCACAGTTCATGTCCAAAGTAACTTCTATTCCAGACCACGCTGCTACTCTGAGCACATCAGTCGTGCCCTGAAGGAGTCAAACACTATCAACATTTCCCAGCTGCCCAGAGTGCACTCTGCTGCAGCTTCAGCTCTCCAGAGGACAGACTGCTCTTGGAGGCAGAAGTGATTCTGCACCTTTATATCTCACAGAGCAACTCCTCTGAGCTGCTGCACTTATGGAACAGCATAGATTACTCACCTTCAAACAGACACTCTAACCTTGTGACACCCCCACTCTGAGAAATTGATAAGGCACAAAGCAATGCTGGGTGACCCATGCAGTCTTACCGCTTTGATGGTTTCAATAGTCTTCTTCCCTGCCAGTCCCGTCTCTCCTTGTGTCTCTCCAGCCACCTACAAAACACAGTTTGCAGTTCTCTCCTGCAGCTGCAGATACACACACAGAGGCACCCCCTGCATCTAATCACAAAACATCAGCCCCATTCCCTAAGCTTGCCATTTGTCTGAAGAAATACAGGTCTTCAACTGCATAGCTTTCGCTCAGGACCAAAGGCACTGTGCTATCTCAGAACACTGGGAGGCAAATAAGCACAATTCTCATCTGACCAACAGAGGCTGAGGGATCTGCTCAGGGTCAGAACTGTCAACAACACAACCCCAGTGTCTGTGCAGAAGGCTTTCCCACCCACTCTGCACCACAAAGACCTGAAAGTAGCTGTCAGAAGGCAGCCCAATCTTGTTCTCAGGCTTGTGTGGATGTGAACAGGGGAGATATTCAATATCCACAGCCCTGTGTGACAGTTTGGCCAGATCCACACACTCCCGAAATTGTCTGAGCCAGTATCAGAGTCCTGGGGAATTTTCCTGCATGCAAATTCTCAATGCAACAGAATCACCAGTCCTCTGGACATTTCTTCTGTGTCTCTTACAGAAATTCTAGACTTATGAAGGAGCTCTGTACAGTCAGACTGACACACTCAGATGGTACAACTCACCACAGGTTGCTCTTCCTTTGCCACACTTTCTTCATATTCAGCTTCTCGTTGCTACAGTGAAGAGAACACAATGTATTAACACTGGCAAGCAGGCAGCTAGCAAGTGTACAAGTTTCTTACAGACTGGAAGTGCAACAGAGCCTGCAGCTTCTTGCAGCCTTATGCAAAAACCAGGACCAATGCACAGAGATCAACAATGCCAGTGCAAAACCTGCTTGTCCCTCATTCCCACCCAACAGAGAACTTGGGCTGAAAAGACTGAAAGAAATCAAGGTCTCCAAATTAGATGCAGGAACAGGCTGCAGACAGCCCATCAGGCTGAGACACCAGCAATTCAACACCAGACTTTCCACTTGGCATGTAGCACAAGAGAAACAAGCTCAGGAAATTTCCAGGGCTGCCCTAGCCTGCAAGAGGAAAGAGCCTCCTGCCCACTATCTCTCATATTCATAGGGCTCCATCAGTATGTAATTCACTACTGGTATATTCCTGCCCATTTTGTTATTCAAACTTGACCCAGAACATGTTTGTCCTATCTAGAAAAGGAACTCCGTCTTTCCTGTTAGTACCATGATTCACAACATGCCAGTCACTGCATCAAGATGCTGCCTATGAGTCTCTTTGCAAACAGGCCAGGAAAAGGAACAGTTTATTGCACATTTCTTAAACATTCCTGCTTCTGCATCTGCATCCTTCTCTCACTGAGACTTGAGAACTTCAATAAGAGTGGGATACAGAGCCAGACTCCTCTGTGGGATACAGTAAAATTTCCCATTAGAGATGTGTAAAAATGTTTCCCCTGCTCCAAGGTGGTCCAGCACTGCAACAAACATTCAGTCTGGAAAACTTCCTTCCTTGGAGATGTTCCTGAGTCACCCAAGCAAGTGTGTGGGCAATATGACAGAGTTTTAGGGTTTGCGTACTATGAACAGGGGGTTGGACCACAGACCCCAGAGTTTCCCTCCCAGCAGAGTCCTTCTGTGAGCACGACTCCTCCAACAGATTCAAAAGGAATGGAAAGGACTTCTTGCAGCATCCCTGAGCTCCAGGGCCTGCTAGCAAAACAGAATGGACTACTCATGCTTGGAAAGGGGGAAAAGAAAACAAACTGCATTCAACAAGAATGGTGCTCTCCATCACCCCACAACAGCCACTTGCTGAACTCTGTCCAAAACACTTCAGTAGAAGTGAGCACAAGAGAGTAAGAGAAGCTTGTTGACTATAGCCAACAAAACTGTAGAAAACCACAGCCATAGAAGAAAGTCTGGGAAGCGGAACAGAAGCACAGCAGAAAAGAGAGCAAATTAGCCAGGCATCTGCAATGCGGTATAGGCAGAAGAGCACCAGCAATATCTGTGGTGCTGTCTCCAGACAGCTTAAGGCAACAGTGCAATCATGCAGAAGATGGCAGTCAATCCAGGCATCTCAGCACCAGGCTGTGGTTAGTGATAAGGAAGTCTGCCAAGCGTGCAGCCAGACTCTCCCACAGTGAAAAATGAGGAACCTGTCTGATAGGCCATAAGGAAATTTGGAAGCTGCCTTTGGGAGGAAGAATGCAACTCACCATCTCCCTCTCCTCTTCCAAGATAAGTGGCTCCCTCGTCCTCTCCCAGAGGCGCAGGGACTTGTCATGGGATGCTGACACTACATAGTCTCCATTGGGACTGAGTGCCAAGCACCAAACCTCCTGGTGATGCCCCTGCAAGTAGAGAAAAAAGGTAAGACATGAACAACACATCTTCCCAAGGAAAGTGCTGCTCACACAGAGATAATGCTTCATTTCAAGAGCCTCTAAAACTTCCTACCTCCAGTGTCTGGATGTGCTCAAATTTATCTGCATCCCACTGCTTAATCTTGTTATCCTTCCCAGCAGTGAAGAAGAGATGGGATTTGGCCACAAACTGGAGATACATCACACTGGGAAGGTAAAAAAGCAGGAGAGAAAGGGACCTCAAAACACACGTATATAGGAGACAGCAGTGTATTCCAAAACCCTGTAGCCCTCATCACCACTTACCTCTGGGAAATGCTTTCTGACACCAGCCCACACTAGTGTGACCAAATTCTGACCTGGGACAAACCATTTGCTGCCAGAGGGCAGAGCATCCAATGTAGCCAGTGAGGCTTGGCACAAGAACCCTGTGATGTCAGCAGCTACCAGACAGCCCTAGTCACCTTTGTCCTCGTGTCCCACTGCCTTGGACTCTCCATGGAAAGCTCAGCTCACAGGTTTGGTGCTAATATAGGGGACCTTGCCACAAAGGTAGTAAAGGCTCAAATTCACCCCCCTGGGGGACACTTCTGATGGCTTCTCCCCACTACACAGGACGAAAAGCTCACTGCTGGATCACAGCCTCTCAAACAACAAAGCAGCCCACAGCCCAACGATACTGTGGAATTTAACCAACCTGTCATCATGGGCAAAGAGAGAACGGTGACAGTCCCCAAAATCCATGCCCCAAATCTTCACATTCCTGTCGGCAGACCCAGTTGCAATCAGAGTCCCATCCTACAGAGAAATGCAGAGAATGGTGTGGGCAGCTGGCTGGCAGTCCTGTCAGGAATCATCAATGGACTAAGCAGTGCCTGGGCACTGGCTCCTGAAATATGCCCTCCTGATCAAGTTCTTTACTATGAGAGTGGTGAGGTGCTGGAACAGGCTGCCCAGAGAAGTTGTGGATAACCCATCCCTAGAGGTGTTTAAGGCCAGATTGCATGGGACCTTGGGCAACCTCGTCTAGTATTAAATGGGGAGGTTGGTGGCCCTCCATGTGGCAGGGGGTTGGAGATTCATGATCCTTGAGGTCCCTTCTAACTCTGGCCATTCTGTGATTCTGATCCCTCCACCTCCTCTCTCCTTAGCAAGGCGCATCTCTGTAGTAGAGACAGCCCGCAGAAAGCATCCTGACTCTTTTCTGAACCTTTACAGACACTTAAGATCTTAGCTAAAGCTTAGCATTTTTGCAATCCAAAGAGCTTCAATGCAAGGCTACCATGGCCCAAGGATGAACAGACATGAAGAAGTTGCTCCATCTCAGTGCTGCTCACTGCTCTCACTATCAAAGAATTCAGACCCCACAAAGCCAGCTAGTAACTTCAGCAGAGTGTGTTGTACTTCTTAAGAAGAGCCCCAAGAATCACAGCAGCACTTTAGTTTCTACTTCTTACATAATACCCTGTTCAGTTCTGTAATAACCACTGCTCCACAACCTTTCTCAGTGTGTACAGGACTGTATGATCAGGAGGGGCTTGCTGTGTCATATCAAGAAACTGCTGACTATGTCAGGAGCAGAGAGGCATTGCCCTCGGGGCACTACTGCCAGCAGAGGTTCACACAGTCATCACCACAGCCCCACCTGCAGCAGACGCACAACCGTAATGATACTTACATAGGAGATGTCCATGCACAGCACTGGCAGCTTGTGTCCATACAGAGACAGGAAAAACTGAAGAAAAAAAAGGATGTCTCAGTTAGACATGTTGGGTGCATGCATGTGAAAATGCCAGGCTCCAGGCTACCTCTGCTCTTCCTCAGGAGGCCTATCTTTCCAGCACCACTCTTGCCCTGAAAACAGGTAGCAGCGAGGCCATGCTGGCAGAACAGTGATGATGAAAATAAAAGAACCCAAGCAAGCTGAGCTAACTGGTTCTGACCAACACCACCTATGGAGTTTACCTGTTTCTCTTCGCATATCTGTTACTGCTGGTCTGTCTTTTGTCATTTCCCTCATGTTCATGTGCTAACACACAAATCACAAAGCCACCACGCCGCCTCAAACTGTACAAGGAAGATTTTCCTTCCCCAGGTTTTGCCTTTGCTATGCTCAACTTAAGAACCACACACAACACCGATTCACCCTATCCTCACAATTCTACATGGTTCTGGCATACCATCCTGCCTGCAGAGTTTGAGGGACCTTGCCATATGCAGGTTCACAATCCTTTCCAGATAAAACAGATTTTCTCCCCAGCATGAGCAAGCCACAGTTCTGTCAGTATTGTTGGCAAGCAAGAACAGGAAGTGGGATGCAAAGTATCCCTTTGATTATTATTGGGATCCTACAATAAATGGGCACTTTTCCAACATACTCCTCATCTTCCAAGCTATAATTATCAGTGCCTCACAGCCCACACAGTCACATACCTTGAGCGTGTCGGTGTAGAAAACTTTCACAGTGCAATCCAGTAAAGAGACAGCTAGCAGTTTCTGGTTGGGGCTGTACCGCACACACAGAACATCTTCATCCAGCTGCAAGATGCGCACCTGTTTCATGGACAGCCTGGCAACAAGAGGAAAAAAAAACCAAAAAAACCTCTAACCCCAAAGGAACAAGTTGAGAAAAGACATAAATACAATCCCCACATTGCACCCTGGGAAAGCAGGCTAATCCTAACATGAAGCATCTTGTTTCTCATTAGGACTCAAACAAGACAGGATTGGAAATGAGCACGACACTGCAGGCTGACAGAGTTCACTGTTAGATGTACAACTTGTGATTAGAGGCTACACTGTATGCAAGCAGGGGACCACAGTGTAAGGGGACCTCACATAAACTCAGACCTCCACAAAACTCTGCACTGACACTCTTCACCACATGTTCCATGCACATGTCATTGGCCCTTCTTGTGGTGCACAGCAAAAGCCAAACCATCCATCAAAGAGAATAAATGCTGCAGTTTAACTCAGTCAATGATTTATTTTCTCACCTTTTCTGAATGCTGCTCTCATCCTTCACAAGCTCAAAATCCCAGAATTTGACACATTTATCAGCACCTCCTGTCACAAAACCACGCTGCAGGGGAAAAACAAAGTTATTATGAAATCAGTTCCACTGTAACACAGAAATGCTACAGACATGAACTGCCAACACAGCAGGTTTTTGAAAAATTTCTTCACATTCCCACAGCTTTTATGATTAAGAGGACACCACCAGGAGCACTTGCTCTGGTTGGAACAGTTATTACCAACTGGCTGAGCAAGAACAATTTCAGGAGCTCTGGCAGGCAGATCTGAGGCAAAAACTGCAAATGTAAAGCAAGACATGGACTAAAACTTTGGAACTGAAAGTCATCTCAGCTGTAGGTAATGAAGTGCATTTTGGGAATGAGCTGACACTCACTGTTCTCGAGTCACAAACACCTCATCATCATCACAAGCACAGCCTTCTAAAGGAAGAAGAAAACACTTTTACATTAAAAACGAGGGTAAAAACTGTCCCATATGTTTTAATCTGCTGAGTAAATGAATCACAGGCAGGTTATTACTTGCTGTGGTTTTGATTCCACTAAAAGCAACACTGCAGCTTCTAGCTTAAGAAAATGAAGAAACGTATAATAAACAAAGAGAAGAAAAGTGAAAGTTGGTACAAATCAACATGAACCTGAATTCTGGCAATAGAGAAAAATGCTTGAAAAAACAAAACCACACAGACCATTTCTAGAGATGGCTGTAAGAGCTGTTAAGCGGCAAGGCTCAAAAAGTGTGTGGATTCACCAAACATTTCTCATCTGTTGTGCTCAGGGAAAAGCCATGCACCATAATCATAGTACAAGACTCCAAAAACTCACAAGACTGTAAAAAGAAGCTACTTGTGTCAGATGTTTATAAATCAACGGTTTCACATTCACCAAATCTAAAATTTTTATGGAGCAGAACTAGGTACTCTCTAAATCATCAATATTCATGCTTAGTAAGTTTGGAAATATGAGGGAAGATTCAGGAAGAAACCAATAGAACATCAGAATTCAGACAGAGGAAGCAGGCAGGCCTGTTAATTGTGAGCATACTCAACAGGCACTTGCAATTTCATCAAACAAAGGAAGTAAAATTAAAACAATTAAATTCAATTGAAACAAGCTTAGGGAAAAATAATATGATGGAAATTACCCTTTTCCTTAGGAGTAATGCTGTAGTTCATAGAATCATAGCATAGTTGAGTTGGCAGGGTCCTCTGGGTTCACCTGCTCCATCCCTGTGCTCAAGCAGGAACACCCAGAGCAGGGTGCCCAAGACCACTAACAGTCAGTCAGTGTTTGAAGACCTCCAACAAGGAGACTCCACACCCCCCTGGGCAACCTATGCCAGAGATCTGGCACCAAAACAACTTCCTGATGTTTAGAAAGAACCTTCTGCGTTGCAGTTTGTACTCACTGCCTCCTAGAAGAGTTGCCTCTGTCCTCTGCACACCCTTTCTTCAGACACTGATATACAAGTAGGGAAGCAAGGATCTAAGCTCAACATATACATCTACTGCAATGCAGTGCCCCAAATGGGCTTCAAGGAACATGGTGGATTATTACCTAACAACACATTCTCACCACTGAGGGTTGTCAAAAGAGCTAAGTCAGTCCTTCAAAAGGTGCTAACTCGTGCATTTGGCACTGGTATAACTTTCTACTACACCATGCATTCAGATCCTAGGGCCACCAGCACAGAAAAGATTGCAGTAGCATAAAAAGTGCCACAAGAATGATTAAGAGCCTGGAAAACACATCCTGCAGGAAAATACAGGAAAAGTCTAGCCTAAGAATCATCAGATAAATGGGTAATATGGTCACTTGGCAAGAGTGCAACACAAAGGAAAAAATAGCACTGTGTTAACAGGATTTTTTAAACAGCAAATGAATACACTAGCAAGTCCAACAGCTGGGAGTTAAAGCTCAACAAGCAGAAACTACAGAGAAGCAGAAAGTTTAACACAGAGGATAATAGTAAAAACAACTTTTCTTTATGTCACCCACCCTGGAGGTGTTCAAGGAATGTTTGGATTTTGTGCTGAGGGACATGGTTTAGTGAGTACTATTGGTGATAGGTGGATGGTTGGACCGGATGATCTTGAAGGTCTTTTTCAACCTTGGTGATTCTGTGATTATACCCAGCCTAAATCTCTCCTCCCTTAATTTGAAACCATTTCCCCTTGTTCTATCACAACAGATCCTACTGAAGAGTCTGTCCCCTTCTTTCTTACAGCCCCCCACAGCAGAATACAAAGGGCTGAAGTTCTCCACAGCTGGAACACATCCATAACATGCTGCACGCACAGTCCCTGCTGGAGAAGTCAAAGTTCTTGATCATACAGAAACCAGGTAAGGCAACGAGGATGGCCCACTTCAACATGGAGACTCACTGTAATGTGCCATCCAAGACCAGAGAGATATTTCAAACTTCGTATATATCTGCAGTTCAAGTTCTTAGATGGTACCAGCTGCATCCTTCACCTCCCATGATGACATTCCCATGCTCACACCAGTAGCACAAATATAGCACTACAGGAAGGAGCTACACAAAAAGACATGGAACAAATGATGTTTACAAGGCTGGCTGAGTTACCTGGTCTGGTGAAAGAGCAATGGACCACACAGCCCCATCATGGGCATTAAGCGTCTCCACCAGACTCCCAGAAGCCAGGTCATACAGCTGCAGCTTCCCTGTCTGGGGAGAAAGACACATCACAGAGGACAAATCAGACCCTCCAACTTCACGATATACCACAGGAACAACTTAGGGAGCATTAATCAGATCTGCAAACAGACCCGAGCCTGACCTCTTGGAGGAGTCTCCAGAAATGGCAAAGATTAAAATTGCTCAAAGCAGAGCTGAGAGACAAAAGGTCTGAGCTACCACAGGTGAGACTCCAGCAGTGACAAAGCAACCATGTATTAATGGAAAAACAAGGTTCCAAAGGTAGAGGAGAACTCAGCAAATATTCCCAGACTGCACAACACACAGGAGAAGTCACAGTAGTACCTTACTGGCAGCAGAGTTCTTGTTCCATTTGAGCTCTCTGAGCTAGGCAGTCACTTCTGAACAAGCTATGACAGCTCCTAACACATCTGCTACCCATCTTTTGAACTTCATTACATCACTGTTACATACAGATAGCCAAACTCCTGATGGAGATCAGGGACTTCCCAAAACTCTCCTCAGCTGCCCAGCTCAAGCCATAGGAGCTACATAAAGACTCAGGAAACAGAACAGACTAACTGCCACAAGGGTTTTTTTTACATCTAAAACAGAATAGTCCAGAAAATGTAATAGATTTTCATTAAGGTTGCCTTAATGACATTTTCAGAACATACTCCCAGACTTGGGCTGAATCAGGAGTGCAGAGGGGACACTATTTACCTTGGTGCCAACGATGACCTGCCGATCTCCGGGGACAAAGAGTGAGCATAGCGCATACTCACAGTCCATCGTTCGGATACACTGCAAAGTTGATCTGTGGACAAAGAGTTCAAAAGCTCTTTTCACACAAAATCTGGTCTGCTAAGTGAGACGTGAGAACTGCCTCTCCCAACAACTTTCTTTTTGGCTGGGGCCAGAAGATACCATATCACCTGCTATTCTGTTGACTTCTTTTACTTAATAAGGGAAGCAATAGTCTATTTTATATTTCTCCATCATTCCCTCTTCCTTATCACTGGATCTCCAAACACAGCATCCATAAGTTCCATGAGACTAACATGCACAGGGTAGAGGGGACTGACACGATTGCACAGCATACCTGTTCCAAATCTTTACAGACTCTGCAGCTCCTGAAAGAACAGCAATATTATCAGAGCTAAAAGCTAATGTCCTGACATCACTGCGGTGGCCTCCAATGGTTATCCTGGATGCACGGACAGCCTGCGGGACCTGTGCTGACAGGTTCAGGGTGTGTAACTCAATGATGTTGTTCTGGAGCAGCAACACAATCTTCAGCTCTTCTTTTGGAGAGAGAATCATGTCAAATGACCTGTTTGATAAGACAAATTAGATGTACACAGAGATGTACACAGGGGCCATAAGACAACATGTAGGAGGAATCAAGTATCAAGAACAACTGTGAAAGAAGAATACAGACAGAGTGCATGCTATGAACAAGTGCAAGCTAAGCAACAGAAGACTGAAAGGAGGTCACCATTTGGGGCAGTGCAAATGGACTGGCAGACCACGGTAGCCCTCCACTCAGCTCCAAGTTGAACAGATGTTGAGGGGAAAGCTTCTTCCATCTTCTCCATAATGAGCTGTACAGAGCTCTTCCCAAGCAGTTTTACACCACAGTCCAGCCTTGTCAGCAGGATTTCCACTTACTTGATTTTAGCAGAAGCTCTGATGTTAGTGACCCGCTGGATCTCCTCCTGCAGGCTCAGCTCCACATTTCCTTTATGCTCATCTTCTTCAGATTTCTGCCTAAAGACATCAAATAATGGAGGGGGAGTCAGGTAACTCAGCACAGACAAGCAAAACTAAGACAGGGACTGAGAATAGCGCAAGGAAACCACTAAGCTCACTGAAAACAACTGCCCTGTTATCCAGGAGCACTAATTGTTTTTGTTAAGAACAGAGTGAGACAGCTAAGTTCAGGCTGTTATGCATGCTAAGGAGAAAAACTGTCCCAAAAAAGGCAGTGTCCTCTGGGATACAGCCAAAGCACTTAACAAGGCACATTACAAAGATGGATACAAAACAGACAACAGCAAGCTGTGTTTGACTGAGATCAGTTTCTGCTCATTTCATACCACACCCAGAAAGTCCACATTCATTGCCAAAAAGTGACTTCAAATGTATCTATCTGCTCTATGCTTCAGCTTCTACAGTGGAGCCAGAGTTCCCTCAATGGCTACTGTGAAGCAGTCATTAAGTACCAAGATATTCAGAGAGACATTTAACACGAAGTAGCCTTTCATAAAGCTCTGATTTGTATCTCTGCCTGCTGTACAACAGGAGATGAAGTATCAGAGTCATCTGACTTCTCATATGAAACTCTCATTCCAGTATATCCCGTCAAAGATTTTATTTGACACAGTAAGCAGTGCAAATATGAACGTCAGGTGGAAGTGAGAAAAGAACATTTTTTACCCATTTCCTTCCACACATTACCTTTTTTTGGAGGAGAAATACTCAGAAGGAAAGTCTCTGGTAGTAAATAAATGTTGCTTAGACAAGTGCCAAGGATTCACAAGAATAGTGCCCCTAAAATACAACAGCTGGCACAGACAGAATGACCAGTAGCTTGGAGTTCAACCATTGTGTCATGCTGCTTGAGGGGATAACAGTTTTCTGGACACAGACAGTATCCTCATGCACCCAAAAGATTGCTTACTTGGCTTTTTTCTTTGCTTTCTTCATTTTCTTTTCCAATTTTTTCTTTATTTCCTCTTCAGAAAGGACAGAGAATACTTCTAGAACAGCATCAGTCCCCTAGAGATAGAGCAAACAGTGCAAAGCCTTGGTTGGTGCTTACCAGGTGGAAGGGCTGCAAGAGCTTCCTCTGTAACTCAGTAGCAGAGCTTCCCCATTACTTACATGGCAGGCCAAAACCTTGCCCGTGCGGTCCGTGGCAAGTGTAACTACTCGATCTCTCCCTTCCCGCATGATGGATCCAGCTTTACTGCACTTTAGGAGACGCTACAGGAAAAGAAAAAGAAGCTTGGTCTGGAAGGCCAAGTGATCTTCCCAGGCACACTGAGAAACCTGCTTTGAAGGGAAGTCAGGAGGAAAAGACAGGACAATGAACCTACAACAGGTAGCAAGGATAATCCAGAGACAAAACAAGTGTCTGTGTGAGTTGCAGAAACTCACACAGAAACGCAAGAAACACTGACAACCTCAGCAGAAGAATAACTTGATTTCACTGGCAAACCAGAGTCATTTAAGAAATTAAGCTGAATTTCCATGCTGCAAAGGCAGCAGAGCACAGCTTCTCTACCAGAAGATGCAAAAAAGACAAAGGACAGGCAAAGGCAAAGGACACTAAAATTGGTGATTAAAAGGAGAAAAATCTTTTGAAAGGAGGTCTTTAACAAGGCCCACTATCTACTATAACCACAAGCAGTCTGAAGTCAGAGAAAAATTCCACAAACTTTCCCCAGAAAGACAGACTCAATAAAATCTCCACCAGCAGCACAAGTGGGAATGGCTTTGAACAATCCCATCTGACACTACTTTGTGATCATGCCACTTTGATCCCCATGTTTCCATGCTTCTACTTACTGACATGCAAAACTGAGTGAGAGCACTCAGCTGCCAAGTAGCTACTAACTATTTCATTCCCATGCTGTTTAATGAAAGAGCTCTGTTAGCACTGAACCTTCAAACACTTGCTAATCCCTCCTTCCCCAAACAGAGGGCAAAGAAATTGGTTTGTGCTTTGACACAAACGCTTCTCATGTTCTGCAAGCAGATGAGGGCAGCAACTACTGTTGAAAAAGAAATTACCAAGTGATAGAAGAATTAACACATTTTCCCTAACAGGCTAAATATGACACTTGGTGTATAAACTCAACACAGATAACCAACGTATCAGCACTTCTCAAACTCCTGTTGGCCCTGGCAATGCTGGCTGGCAAGCAGCATCATGTCAATAACATTATATACACCATCCCAGACAGCATGAAAAAAATGAGCTTACCTCCTCAGGACTCTCATCCAGCTCTAGTGCCTCATCCTCTTCATTGTCTTTTCCTGCTCCTGGTGAAGATCCTTTGCTTTTCTTGGATTCTGGCTCATCAGGGTCTTCTAGCTGTTCACAGACAAAAATCCGTATAAGAAATAACTTAAACCACAAGAACTAAGTTGTATCAGTTCCTGTCTCTGAATTTATTCATGCTTCATCTCCCTGGAGAAACAAGTGGTTTGTACATATATGGCAACAACAGTGGCCTACAGTATGCCTGTAAGGACCCAATGTTCCATGTCCTGCTCTCCTCATTCCACAAAACTGTCTTTTCCAGCTGTAATCCAGATGGCCAGAAGATCACACTCTAGAAAGTTTGTTCTAGAAGTTCTTGCAGCATCACATGCAAACCCAAAATACAGAAGACATCTAAAGTCTAACTCAAGAGCAGCTTCTGGACCCCTCAGACAACAAAGAAACCACTTCAGTTCTGTTTCCCAGAACAGCAACCAGATTTAACACGTCCCAGACCCATTTTATTCCAAAGATAAGCACCTGGACAAGAGTGTGAGAGGCCACAGAAAGAATGTCTTACCTCCTGGATGTAAGTGATATCCCAAACTCTCAGTTCACTGTCAGCAGTCCCAGTGATCAGACGTTTCTCTTCAGATAGCAAAGCCATCCCCCAAACCTGTTCAAAAGCACAATGAGAAGAATTGGTTTATGACTTCTTTGGCTATCATACCAATACCAGAGCATCCTTAATTGATTTATTTAAACGGGAACCTAGAGAAGACTGGATCCAACTGGTATCTCCTCTAGGGATACCTGTATTTGAACTGTCACCCCTGTATGTTGATAACAGTTCTCAGATAGTTTGGAAGTCTCTCATTTCCTTTTCCCTGAAGCTTAATAACAACCAAAAATACATGAAAAAATACATCAGAGTTCCAGTTTACAATCCCTTGGAGCAAAAAAATGCATAAGGTGAGCCATGACCTGCCATACAAAACCCTTCCATCCCTATGGCTCTCTGACTTCCTCTTTACCTCAGTACGGTGTCCAACTAGAGTTTTGAAGCAGTGCTGGGTATCCAGGTCCCACCATTTCACCAATGTGTCTTTGCCACTGGAACAAAAACAAAAACCTCAGGACATGAAGAAAGATTGCTAGAGTACATGGTATTACATAAGCAGAAAAAAGCTGAAGAAATACAAAGCCTTAAACATGTTGCAATGTATCACTGACCAGCTGCTCAGACTACAAACACACTGAATTTCACAACCTATTCAGGGACAAAATTATAGCAATACAAAGATGCTGCAAAAGAAGTATCAACAAACAAACAAACAAAAAAAAGCACTTCCAAGCTCAGCTGCACACCCCAGCATCACACAGCCACCTTTCTAGCTTAGAGAGAGCAAAAACAATCAAATTCTAATGCAGATCAAATTCTAAAGCTGCCTCCTCCACATTCTCAACCTGTGCATTAACCAGGCTACAACAAAAGCAGCCACCTTCAACTTGAGTTGCTCTTCCCAATGGAGAATTACAGCTGTTTTAGTTCCTCAAGGCTCCTGTATGATCAGGCAACCTTGAAAACTCTTGCCTGTGGCTATATTTTGCAACAGTAATGCTAGAAGTGCACCAGAGAAAAGTAATTTGAACATTTATGTAGACTGCTTCTCTTCACCCCACGGCAATTAATACTTTTTTATTTTTCATAACTTTGCCAGAGCCGATTTTTTTGCAAACAAATTAAAATGCAAAATTTGTTTTTCCAGTACTAAGCTTACTCAGGAAAAAAGAAAAATCACTACAGGTGATAACTATTGTTAATCCATGCCTTTTGCTACACAGCAGTCAAAGGTAAATTGTGCAGGTGAAGATCTGACATAAAAATTCTGCACACAGAGAACTGCAGTAAGGCTTCTTATGCTAAAAGATTTAAAAACAAAAAAAACAATCAACCTAATTTTGCATCCTCAGCAAAGACAAGACTTGGAATTGCATTAGGAAACAGGCATTATTACTAAAATAGCAAAATATATTTCTTTTGCAAAAAAGCAAAAAAGGGACACACAAGAAACTTGTTCTAATTTTACACTGAACTGATTGAGTGCACCTATTAGATGACAGTAAATACAAACATTAGTGACTGATATTTGAGCAAGAATACCTTCTGTAACTGATTATTATTGAAGGCACACGATCATCTTGCTGATGTTTAACTAAAAACCAACTCAGTAAAACACTGATCATCTTTCAATTAATCCATTTAATTATTACCTAATAGAAAGCCATTCTTCTGAGACGCGGCTGCACAAGTTACACATACAGAAGATAAGACTACTCAATTATTTATTTAGCAAAAAATGGTGGTATACAAAATAAACACATTATTACTATTCACTGTTATGATAATTCTAAGCTGCTAAGTCTACCGGTAAGTTAAAACCTTTTTTAAATGTTACTTTTCAGAATCAGCTTCTGCTTAACATATCTGGAATTCAGGCATCAGATTCATAAAATGTGTGGACATGCTGGAAGGTTTGAGAATTCATTTCTTCATCACAATATAATACAGGTCTCATATGTATGGCTGGAGTTTTGAGTAACCTGGTCTAATACAAAGTGTTCCTGCCTATGGCAGGAGGTTGAACTAGGCGGTCTGTAAGGTTTCTTCCAACCCAAACCATTCTAGGATGCAAAACAATCTCATCTTTTTTGAGCAGGCAAAGCACAGAAAAAGCTGTGATTCTAGAAAGAAAATACAAATGGCTACAGCACCTAGGACATATGAATCACAGAATCATGGAATCATTGGGGTTGGAAGGGACCTCCAGAGACCATCGAGTCCAACCCCCCCTGCCAAAGCAGGTTCCCTACACCAGGTCACACAAGTAGGTGTCCAGGAGGGTCTTGAATATCTCCAGAGAAGGAAACTCCACAACCTCCCTGGGCAGCCTGTTCCAGTGCTCTGTCACCAGTGAGTGCTCCAGTGCTATATGAATAGCAAGTAAAAGTGATTATTTTTCTAATTTACTGCTACACTCAACCTGGCTTACCTGGTGACCAGCAGGTTCTTCTCCTTCAAGAAAAGGACTTGAGTGACAGCATCCTTGTGTCCTTTCAGCCGGTACAAACCACTCTCATTGATGACATCCCACACAATGACATCTGTATCCTGGAACAGATAAAGTATCACCAAGGGACCGATTTCTCTCTACAAAATGTCTACATCTGCTATGAGACTGAACAGACCGCTTAAAGTCAAGCTTTCTCACTCTGAACTGGAATGTTAAGGATGAAGAATGTAAATGACAACCTCTCCCTTGATAAGCATTCAGAGCAATAAATGCACCTCTGTCCTTGCTTGGGTCACTTTCAGTACTCCTGACCTCACAATCTTCTTCACTTTCAGTAGGTCTGCTAGTACCCTTCTTCTGCATCCAAGACTCTCCTAGCCTCAAACTCCCTAACACTATTGTCGTCTTGCAGCTCCAAATCCTCTCACTGCCATCACAGTATCATGGAATTATATAATGGCTTGGGTTGGAAGGGACCCCAAGGATCATCAAGTTCCAACCTCCCCTTCCATAGGCAGAGCCACCTCCAGATCTGGTACTAGACCAGGTTGTACAGGGCCATTCCCTTCTACACGCAGATGCCACATCACCCCCTTAAAATACCAGACATTTTCGTGCAGGTCAACATTCCCTACAGATCACCTCTTTTACCCTTTGTGAGAGGGCTTGTCCTCCCAACATGCAGAGCTCACCTTTGAGCCGGACACCAGCCGGCCCCCCAGCTGGTCATACTGCAGTGCTGTGACCGCAGCCTTGTGTCCATTGAAAGCAACATTAGCTTCCCCGCTCAGGAGGCTGAAGATACGGATGGAGCCATCTTCATAGCCAACAGCCAAGTGCAACCCATCAGGAGAGGGGCGGAGGAAACTGACTTCGTGCTTGGAACCCTTAAGGATAAGGACCTGTGATTTTTAGGAGATAAAACCCAAAATGTTGGTAAGTACATCAGGGCCATATACAAAAAGAAAAAACAGAATAACAGAATATCCTAAGTTGGAAGGGTCTGATAACAGTCTGACAAGGGAGTTCAACTCCTGGTTCCACAGAGCATCACCCAAATCCCAAACTGTCTGAGAGCAGTGTCCAAACCCTTCTTGCACTCTGGCACTCAGAGCCGTGCCCACTGCCCTGGGCAGCCCGTTCCATGCCCACCACCCTCTGGTGCAGACCCTGTCCCTAACCCCCATCTGCCCTCCCCTGACACAGCTCCATGCCGTTCCCTCGGGCCCTGTCGCTGTCACACAGAGCAGAGCTCAGCGCTGCCCCTCCACTCCCCGTGAGGAGCTGCAGCCGCCATCAGGCCTCCCCTCAGCTCCTCTGCTCTGGGCTGAGCACACCACAGGACGAACAAACCAAAGGAATACATTCTGCTCTCGCACTGAACTCCCAAACAAGCACTTCCAACGCTCTAGAACTTTGTTCTTCAGCTTCCTGTGCTGCATACAGTGTAACGAGCCCCGTGTTACAAGGCAGACAGCAGCTAGCAGCAGTTTCTCCCTGTCAAGCAGCAAAGCGGTCCAGCGTGAGACCTACAAGCCAGAAGCCTGCAGTCCTAAAACTGCGTTTTCCCTGAATCACGCAATGACAGAACATCCAAAATTCCATCCAAAATTCAGACCCCACGTCCGAGAGCGGCATCCAAACGCTCCTTGCAGACGGGCAGCTCAAGGCCGTGCCCGCCGCCCCGCTCACCTTCTCTCCTTTCCGCGCGTCCCACACGAAGACGTGCTCGCAGGCCGGCACAGCCACGCAGCGGCCCCGCTCGCCACGCAGCGTCACGAAGGCGGCGTTGCCCTTAGCGCTGCCCACCAGCCCGAAGAGCGCGGCGGGCGCGTAGCGCAGGTACTGCTTGGTCAGCCCCATGGCCGCACGTGCCCGCGCCCTACGGCCGGCACCGGAAGCGCGTCAGAGCGAGGCGGGGCGCGAGGACGGAAGCGGAAGCGCGGGGCGGCCGCTCCGCTTTTCTGGGTGATGTCGGCGAAGCGGCGGAGGATTGCAGGCTCAGGCCGTGCGGGCGCGGCGCGGCCCGCGGGTGAGTCGGCGGAGCGGTTGCGTCGCCTTTGTTACCTGCAGCGCCGCGTTGGGGTTGGAGATGGGGTCTGCTTCGAGAGGTTTTTTTTTGTTTTTTTTTTTCTTTTTTTAATGAAATATATTCTCTTGTTCCTGTTTCGGAACTGCCATTATGCGGGCGCTGCTTTGCCGAAGCTGTTACGGATGGAAAATCGTGAATAAAGAGGCGCCGGGGCGGCAGGCTGAAGCTGTGCGTTGGGGCAGGTTTAATTCGCTGGCGAGGTTCAGCAGAAGCGTAGCAGCCCGGTGCCGCCTGCTGATAGCTGGGCAGGGCTCGGGTCTTCATCCAGCAACCCGGGTTATCGCTGACCTTCCAAAATTAAAAGAAAAAAAGAAAAAAAAAAAAGGTCAGGTGATGGAGTTCAGTCTGCTGTAGTACTGGAAGCTCATTGGTCAGCGTTCAGGTTTATATCTTTACTCTTTTTTTTTTTCCTAAAATCGGTTTGGGTTTTTGTACCTAATTCCACAGGAATAGGAACTGAGCGGTGCTTCAGAACTCATTGAACTTGCGGTACAATTGCGTTGTACTGCTGGGGTGGAGACCTTTCCTGTTGTGTTTTGGTGCTAGATTTATTTCTCTTTTTTCTTGTTAGAGGCGTTTGGGGTTTAATGGAGTTTTACTCGATGGTTGGGCGGAAGTGAAGGGAGCAGACACTTGCTTTCTTTTGTGGTGTTTGTTTTTAAGTGTGACCCTAGGCTTGTTCTGAAGGAGTAGTCATGCACACCCTGCAGTATTGCTTCTTTATAGGAATAAATAGTCCTTTTTAGGCTTGGAAAGTTGCTTTCTCAGAACAAGAGATCTCGAGTCAGTTGGACCAGGTGAATAGAGAAGGTGCTTTTTGTCATGCATTACTAAAAGCAAGTATTTGCCTTGTCCTTTGTCATACAGATGACCGAACTAGGAAGGAAGAGAAGCTGAGTTGGAGATAATTCTGTTTGTTGTTGCTGTGTTGTGGTCTTGTGAAAGGTCTGGCTCGTGGGAATTGCTTTTTGTTAACAGCTGGTGACCTGGTTTGATTTTCTTCCCTTAAGCACCTGGAGAACTCCATTGAGAATTGGAGTGTGACAAGTTAACAGGAGAAGAGAAGTTGTTCCTTCCATTCCATGGATCCCTTGGGTGCTCCTTCCCAGTTTGTGGATATTGACAGTCTGCCAGGCTGGAGTAATGTCTGTGAGGCTACCCAGGTGGATTCTTACCAAAATCCTGTTGAAAAAGCTCAAGTCGATGTTAGGTCACCTTTTCCATACAGGAAAGATCTCAATGCAAAAATCGTCTTATGGTAAGTTCCATATGGCTCTGGTGTCTCTGTCATCACTTCTGCATTTACTGCTTCCTACAACAACCACTGCTATAGGAAAGAAAGCTTTCAAGCCCTCCTTTCTTGAAACAAGCATTACAGATCTGGGAGGAAAACATTTTTTTTTGTTCACTGGAAGTCTGAAGATCTGATGTTTGCTACGCTGTATGTTGTAAATTACACATTCATAGGCATTCCTTGATGCAGTAGACCAAAATTGCTGCCATACTGGGTTTTTAATAATAAAATCTAGCCAGGTGCTGATACTTCCTAAAATTTATTTAAAATATATATACATGTTGTCTACTGGTTTTTTTTCCTTCCTTTGCTGGCTTTATCAGTATTTCTTTCTTTTATGTAGTTCTTTTATGTGGCTTGCTTGGCCCATTTTTTGTTTTCCTTCCTCTCTCTGTTCTCTATCTTCCTGTCTCCATGTTTTTTCTACCGAAATCTATTCACCTTTGTGTGCTAAGGTGAACTTACTCCATCAGTTTTTCTTTCCTGTGTATCAGATACTCAAACCTTCTCTCTAGATGAGTAACTCTGCTAAGCAGTAGAAAGAGATTTTTCAGGGTGCGGATTCAGGGATCAGCCTGAACCCCTTTCCTGGTTCATGCGTGCAGGAAATAAGGCTGTTTATGGATTTCCTGAACAGGCCAAAGAAAGAAGAAAAATAAAAAGCTAAACATCTACTATGACTTGGATTTAGGTAAAATAAGCTTGTGCACTTTTAACTGTGATTTGAATCTCTTCCTGTGCTTGGGAATTATTTCCCTTCCTGTGCTCTTTTATTCCAAAATCTGTAATGACTTTCTGTGACAAAAAGCAGGTCAGAGTTCTACTGTTCCATCTGCTTCCATGGATCTCTGCATTGTTTATCTTCTGCTTGTCTGACCCTTGTTCAGCAGAGTCAACATGATCAAATCACGAGTTCACAATTTTGGAAGAAAAGCAATGAAGACTCTACTAGCTGCAATGTTACTTGAGCTCTTCATTGGTCTGAGGAAGAACAGCAGTGAGGTGCCCTGGATAATGTTCCTGCAGGCCAACAAAAAAAACACATAGAGATATTTGTTAACACTTAAGAAATAATATGCCATGTGGACTGTCATCTTGATATGAGACAATATGTCCCATTTTGGAACATGTTACATTCCGTGCTGCTTTGCATGTTCTGCTAACTAAACCACCCTACACACGACTACAACACCATGTTTTATGCATGTTTCCCTAAGTTACTATTAAAGTTAAGAATTTTTAAGGAAATGAAAGGTCATGTGCAGTCAGTCTCTATCAGTGACAAAGGATGATTCTGCACTGTGAGCACATCAGGATACACTACACTCTATGGGAACTGAGGTATTGCTAGTGCTTTGACATATCACAGGCAAACAAGGAAATGCTCATTTGAGATTATGCTGCTTAATCTGACATGTAACCTGCAATGAACTGTTTCCTCAGGAAAGGAGACGTAGCGTTACTGAACTGCACAGCCATAGTGAATACCAGTAATGAGTCTCTCACCGATAAGAATCCAGTATCTGAAAGTATTTTCATGCATGCTGGGCCTGACCTGAAGGATGAACTTCAGAAGCTCAAGGGTAAGTAGCAGAAGATGGCTTTTCTTCTGAAATCTGCAGTCCTTGCATAGTTTGAAGTATCGCTGTTTGTGCATGAACTAAAATCAAGATGCAGCTTTTTCCTGTTTTCCCTGGTGTCTGTTATTAAGGTGAAATAAAGAGAGGAAGATAGACTCACATATAGTTCTCTACTTTTGTCATTCAAATTACAGATCATTGAAAACCTTTGACAGGTGTGCAAGTTGCTGAGCACATACTTTGTGTTACAAGAATTCCCACTGTTATTTGAAGCTACTTAGAATGGATTGCTCATTTGAGCTTTTTTTTTTTTACTGTACTAGGGACCTGTCTTATGTAGCTTCAGGTTTTGTTCTTGACCTGCTCAGTGTGTATCTACTTGGTGAGTGGAAGAAATAAATTTAAGTTTGCCATTGCAGGAATTAAGTGGCTTCCAAAACAGTCAGTGTATCCTTTCTCAGCCTATCTTTCAGGAAGTAATTTATTCTCAATGCCTATTAAATGAAAATGTGTTTTTGGATTTTGTTTTTGTTTTGTGTGAGGAACCAAGAGTTTATAGGTATGCAAGGTCATACCAGAGTCTGATACAGCTTGCAGTTAAAATTAAGGTTGCTCATAAGTATGGTACTGAGCTGAATTTTGAGACCAGGCTGATTCCTGAGTGGTACTGATTACTCTCTTGGATAGCAGCTATATCACTTTGTCATGTAATAACAAAATGGACAGAAGGGCATAGTATTTTGAGTACAAGTTCTCAGTGGCTTAGACTGCAATAGAATGGATATCCTATTCTGCTCATTCAGCTTGTTCAGCTGTTAAAAAAAAAAAACAGCAGATGTTAGTTAGGATCCTGCTACGTATATTCATTCTCATAAATAAACTTGGGCTTTTTCAGTTCATTGTGAGGTGGGATGGGAGGGACAAGGTTTCAAAGAGTCCTTAAAATTCAAGGACTTTTCATCTCTGTAGGAAGTTCTTTGTAAAAATCGGGCTTAGCTCCTTAAATTCTTTTCGCCGCCCTGAACCACGTGTGGTTTAGATCCTCCACCCCTTTAGTATCAGTGTCTTCACTCTTTAATGCGTTCTACAGATTTATTTCTCCATTTTTGATAGTTTTCCTTCAGTCTTGAGATGGGATCCTTTCAGAAATGAGTTCTTTTCTGACAATATACTGATTGGCATGTTGTGTGGCAGAAGAAAGAGAAGCTGGGTTATGACTTTGACTGTTACAGACTCTTTAATATGAGTTTAACAGTAGCATAAACAGAAGGGGCTTTAGATAAGAAACCAGTTAATCATTCACCAACTCAACTTCCTTTTTGTGTTCTTTTCCCTCTTTTTTTGTTTTTCTTTTTTTTTTGCATAGGAGATTGTTCTTGATGAGAAGTGAAGATGTATGTTTGCTTTAGTCTAAAGCTGTAGAATGAGTGTAGTGGTGATTTTCAGCTCAGTTATTCCTAATTCTCTTTCTCTCTCTCTCTCTCTCTCTCTCTCTCTCTCTCTCTCTCTATATCATACAGTCGAAGGAAAAACATGATTTTTTAAAGCATGTGATATGCTGACTTTTGAAGAATTGTGCTTTCTTTAAGACTCAGCTGACTTCTGTATTCCTGGGAACAGTGTAGTTTCAATTAACAAAGAAATACTATAGCCAAGGGCTCAGACTTGCATATGAACTGCTATTGATATATGCTTTCCTATTCACACATGCTTGTTGCAGTCTAATAAAGACCTTCTGTAATAGCAAATCCTAGTAATCTTCCAATTCCAATGTGGCTTTTTTTTCCACTGCATGCGTTTTCTCCACTCCAACATTCCAAAGTACAAGAGGCTGCTGTAGTGTTTGAAATATCACCAGGTAAACAGTAAGATTTCCCAAACCTTGATCTTGTGCAAGTCACTACTGGCTAACCCTCTCCATGTGTTAAAGCAGGAATAATACTTGCTGCTTAATTTAGTTTTATACATTTTGTAGAGCTCTCTACATAGAAAGCATTGGGAAACACTAAGTATGATGTCAGCATAGTCAGAAATTACTGATTCTGCATCTAGTTGTCTGAATGTATTAGTTTTCCTCCTGAGTTCAGAGCTGTACCTCAGATTTGCTTCATTCTTTTATAAAAGAGAAAATACTTAAAATGATTTTTATTACAGGTCTTGGGTTGCTCTTTTGAGATTGTGCGACTTCAATGGACCAAAGAGAAGGAATAGAATCACAAAATATTTTGGGTTGGAAGGGACCTTAAAGATGATCTGATTCCATCCCCCTATCATGGACAGGGACACGTCTCTCTAGACCAGGCCACCCAGAGACCTGTCTGGCCTTGAACACCTCCAGGGTTGGCTTCTCCAGGCAGCCTGTTCCAGTTCCTCATCACCTTTGTAGTGAAGAATTTTAGCATAACAACTAACCAAAGTCTTCCCTTTTTTAGTTTAAAGCCAGTTAACCCTTTGTCCTATCACTACACTCCTTGATAGAGTCTCTCTCCGGTTTTCTTATAGGCTTTCTTAGGAACTGAAATGCTGCTGTAAGGTTTCCCTGGAACATTCTTTTCTTCAGGATGAACGATTGCAGCTCCCTCAACCTGTCTTCATAGGAGGAAATAGCTTGATACTTGATACATTTACTGTTTAGATTTTATCTACTAATTTTCCCACCTTGAATGTATCTGGTTGCGCTCTCCTGATTTGAAGCATTTCAGAGGATGTGCAGTAGTTTGAAATATATGCTTGGTATGCCATTATATTCTTTCTTCTTAATCCAGAAGAAACAAAGTGAACATCTGTAGAAATAATGACATGATTTGTAAGATTGAAAGAAGTTTATGAAGAGTTGGCTTAAAGGAAATGTGTTCTTGCTGTTAAGCAGGTGTGCTGTAAGTTTTCAGTAAGATTCTCAATCTGAAACACATCTTGCCATAAAATATGCTTTTATATATGCTGTGAAACAGCCTGAGCACCATAACAAATACAGTGGAGTGGGAGAAGAAGTAAGCATTCCTGTTCAGCATGAAGCCTCATAATTGACTTGAGCCAAGCCATAGCAGTTCTGCTACAGGAAGGGTTGTCCTAGCCACTTGTTCACGTTTCATTCCTTTTCATGGGCAGTAGCAGTCTATAAGATCAGGTTAAAAACTAATCCAGTGAAAAGATTCATTTTCAGTCAGGACGAAAGCTTTAGTGGCTCAGTGCAGCTGTACAAGCAAAAGAAAGAAGGTGGGAAATGCTCCCCCTTGAGGGCTGGGAAAGAGGACTGAAAGAAGTACTTCATCTGTTCAGGACTGCAGTAGACTTGACTTCATGTGAAGTGACTTATTTGAAGAAGAAGTAGGGAAAGTTAGCAGACTATTCTTCCAGGTGCCTTTCTTAAAGGAAAAACAGACTTCAAGCACCACAGCAGTTCCTGGATATTTTTTTTGACCCAAAATGTCTTGACAGAGTGAATAAAGAACAAGGGCCTGTGGATGTCTTTAAGGATTCTGATAAACTGATTTCCTGACAGAAGACTGCAGGAGTTGCATAAAAGTAACTTACAGAGACTTGCCAAAGAGAAATGTAAACCAAAGTGAGGTAAAGGTGTATGCTAGCATGCAGAAAATGGTACTAGAGTGTGTAACTGTAGGGTGCTGGAAATAGAATAATTAAATGTACTGTTTCAACTTGGTTGCCTTCAGGCTAGATATCTGGTCTGTCAAGAAAAGTATGATCTCCTTTGAGAATCATACTTGTGCCTTGTGGACACTAAGAAATTAGCAAAACAATGAATGTAACCTTGTTCTGGGAGTGTAGGTGAAATGTGTGCTCGATCTCTTCCTGTTTTCTGGAATGTTTGCCAGCAGCTATTAAGTTTTATTTTGGATAAAAAGACTGCAAAGCTCCTTAAAGCAGTCTCCGAAATCCAAATAATTAAATTCAGAAGGATATTTATTGTGTCGGTGTTCTGTATGTAGCATAGTAAGCACTCAAGACAGCACTTCCAGCAATTAACAGTTTGTCTTTATATGTGTAGTTCTGAAAAGCAGCTCTTACCTGTTCAACATGACTAGGTATTTTAAGCAGTTGCTTTGAGAGAGAGAGAGTGCACTATCCTTAATACTTGATAGCAAAAAACACTGATTTTTACATATGAAGATGAAACTTGTCTGATTCTGGAGGAAGTCAAGAGCTTGAATACTTCTGATTTTCTTTTCGTGACGTTGGTGCAAATTCTTGTTTGTTTGTTTGTTTTTTCCCAGGATGCAGGACAGGAGAGGCTAAACTCACCAAAGGATTTAATTTGGCTGCACGCTTCATCATTCACACAGTTGGACCCAAATACAAGAGTCGTTATCGTACAGCAGCTGAGAGTTCTCTGTACAGCTGCTACCGGAATGTCCTGCAACTTGCAAAGTAAGCATACAGCAACAGCCATCCGTGGCACATCTTTTTCTCCTTATCCTTTGATCTGCACAGAGATCTGAGCTGGTTCAAGTCTCGAAGCCATGTAGTTAGAGTTGTGCAGTGTTCCTCTGTTCTGAGGAGAAGTAAATAATTGTGCTGGGCTCCGTGCTGCCAGAAAGGTTTAAAAGTATTTGGTCAGGCAGCAGCTTCTTGTGTCTTTGTGCAGCCACATGAAATACCCACAGGCAGATTTGACTGCTGCAACAATTCATATGTTTGGCCTGTCTGCTTTCATATTGTAGCTGCAATTCTGTATCAGGGTGCAAGGTTATTTCTAAATCAATATTTGCTGCAGATGAGTTTGTAGTTCTTCCTCTCTTTCATCTGTGGTGTCTTCTATTTCCTCTTACCTAACAGTTCATGTTTATGGTTTCTACTTTTCTGTGTTCTGTTCTTCTCCCATGATGGATGTTGTAATGGTAGTCATCATTTAAAAAAAATTAAAAAAAAAAAAAAAACTTGAACAAGAGCAATGTCAGAAAATATACTTCATGTCTATGTAGGGTTGGGAAGATCAGTTCTTCCAAGTCTGAGCTGTGTGTTACAGCACAGCAGTAAGTGTTTTGTAATCCAGACTACAGCTAAAGTTTCTAGTATATATTGATTATTGGGTTTTGTTTGCTTGTCTTTGCCTTAAAATTGATGAGCAAAGTCAAAACTGGATTTGAACATTTTATGAATAATGAAGAAATACTGATAATTCTGCTTAGTGATTTCTGAGTGCAATTTAGTCCTATTATCTGGAGTAACTTTTGACGTTTATGGAATTATTGTCTACCAGCTCTGAGCTACTTCAAACTCCTCTGACTGTTGACTGCACCTTTGCTTTCCTTTTCTAACAATGTGGCACTTTCCTGTTCTTGCTTTTCTTAAAGTATATGTCACTCCATGCCAATGATTGTCAAATCATTGCTATGACCAAGTAAGCCATTTCAGTCAGAATCTGGACCATTGATCAAAATAAAAAAAAGGTCAGGTTAGGGATTAGGGTATTTGCAGTGAAGAGCACTGTTGTTGTTTTTTGTTTGTTTTTTTCCCTTTCTTTCCCTCCCTATCAATCCTATGCAGGAAGGAAAGTTTTGGAGAAGATTACAGGAAGCTGAGGGAAGACCTTCCTCATTCAGGATATGAGAAAATGCAGAAACAGTGTAGCTGAGGTAGAAGGAGAAACTCTGAGAACAAACACAAGGGAAAATGGTGTGGAATCATTAATGGTTCTCTCAGTTTCTGCTTAATGATGGTAGACATGTATCTTTCCAGGTAAAAATTCTTCTGAGCAAACCTAGAGGAGTGTTACTACTACACAGAGGCAGGGGATAAATACTGGTGTTATCTATTAGACTAGTGAAGCTGTTTCCATCTGACCGTAGATGATGCTTCTATTTATTTATTTCTCTTTCTGGATTTCAGGGAACAGGCAATGTGCTCTGTAGGATTTTGTGTCATTAACTCATTGAAAAGATGCTACCCCTTGGAGGATGCAACCCACATAGCACTGCGTAAGTCTGTTGGAAAGTGACATAAATTCACTGGTAGTATTCAATAGATTGCTCATCTCTGCAGACTGATGCTGATACAGGGAAGCTGCTTTTTTAGGGGACTGTGATGTGTTAAAGAAGGATATAAAGAGGCAAGCTTTACATGGGTGAACAGAAATGGAGGATAAAAACAAATGACCTTTCTCTGTGAGGTTGTCAATAAGCATCTGTGAGAATTCTTGTTGGAACTTTTACTGCTGGATGTATTCATTAGTGAGCTGGAAAAAATGCTAAAGAGTGAGATGAGCTTGCTTGTAATTTAAAAAAAAAATGGACCTCAGGGGCATCAAGGAACAGATTGAATTTTAATTGCTGTTTTGGTATTGTTGGCATATTCAAATGTGAAGTGATATTCTTGTCTACTGTCTTATCCCTGTATGGTTCTGCCTTCACATGATGGGCTAATGCTGGAGAGCAAAACTTTGAGTCTGTAGTGGTATCCTGAAAACATCAGCTTAACGGAGTTCAAAGGAACAACTAAGCAAGGCAGAACAAAACAAAGGATGCTAGAAATATGTGGTTTATCCACTTCTGAAGTTGTGTGTTTGAGGAAAAACTAGAAGTTCAGAGGAGGTCAACAAGAGTAGGCAAAGGCAAGGAATAGCCAAGGCTAGTCATCTTCAGTCTTCAATACACTGAAACTGCTGGGTGTATGATAGTCTTCTGTAAGTTCACAAGTGGAATGAAAACAGTGAATAGGAATCAGCTGTTCGCTGTCCCTCAAACAGAACTAGGAACTCTAAAAGGATGCTAATATGAACCAGATTGAGGGGAAAAAAACAAGGAGAAATGTTTGGGGTTTTTTTATAATTGCATCATTTGTTGTATGGAACTTATAAGAAAAAAAAAAAAAGCATTGTAGATTAAAAAAAATTCAAGTTTGGGTTCAAGTATATCAATACGAAATTAAAAAATGGAGATTACTAGAAACAAACAAACAAAATGTCCTTGGCTGAAATGACTTTGTGCGTTTTTCCATTCTTTGAGAAGAATATTATGTATTTGCTTAGTTCTTTTTTTATGCCTTTTTGATTTCTATTGGCCTGCTCCTTCTGTCTGCATTCCATTTATAACTTTGTATGCTGCTTTAGCATAGCTGACCCATGAGTTTTTGCGTGTCTGACTTTGCTTTGTACCAAATTCTATATGGCTTGCTGTCAAGCTGCTTCTGTGGTAACTGAGGGAACCATGACTTCTTCTAGGGATATCTGGTTTTGGCAACTTGCTTAGAACTCAGTAAAGGAAGGATTTGGCTTGGTTTTTTGCAGTGTGCTTGGTTCTTATTCAACAAATTAGGCCAGTCAGCCTCACCTCTCTCCCTGGAAAGGTGATGGAACAGATTGTGCTGGATGCCATCTCCAGACAACTGGAAGAAAAGGTTATCAGGAGTAGTCAGCATGGGCTCACCAGGTGGAGGTCATGCTTGACCAACCTGGTAGCCTTCTATGATGTTGTCACTGGATGGGGGGAGAGCAGTGGATGTAGTCTACCTTGATTTTAGCAAGGCATTTGATACTGTCTCCCACAACACCCTTGTAACAAAGCTGAGGAAGTGTGGGATAGACAAGTGGACAGTGAGGTGGGTTGAGAACTGGCTGACTGGCAGAGCACAGAGGGTTGTCATTGGCGGTGCAGAGTCTGGTTGGAGACCTGTAACCAGCGGTGTTCCCCAGGGGTCGGTGCTGGGACCGGTCCTGTTCAACATCTTCATCAATGACCTTGATGAGGGGATAGTGGCCACCCTCAGCAAGTTTGCTGATGATACGAAGTTGGGAGGATTGACTGACACACCTGAAGGCTGTGCTGCCATTCAGCGACTTGAACAGGCTGGAGAGCTGGGCAGTAAGGAACCTGATGAGGTTTAACAAAAGCAAGTGTAGAGTCTTGCATCTGGGGAGGAATAGTTGCATGCACCAGTACAGGTTGGGGGATGACCTGCTGGAGAGGAGCTCTGCGGAGAGGGACCTGGGTGTCCTGGTGGACGACAGGTTGGCCGTGAGCCAGCAGTGTGCCCTTGTGGCCAAAAAGACCAATGGCATTCTGGGGTGCGTTGAAATGAGTATGGCCAGAAAGTCAAGGGAGGTGATCTTCTCCCTCTACTCTGCCCTGGTAAGGCCTCATCTGAAGTACTGTGTCCAGTTCTGGACTCCCCAGTACAAAAAAGACAGGGATCTCTTGCAAAGAGTCCAGCAGAGGGCCACAGAAATGATGAAGGGCCTGGAGCATCTCCCCTATGAGGAAAGGCTAAGTGATCTGGGTCTGTTTAGCCTTGAGAAGAGAAGACTGAGAGGGGACCTGATCCAGGTCTATAAATATCTAAGGTGTGGGGGGCAAAGTGGCGAGGCCAGACTGTTTTCAGCAGTGTGCGGAGACAGGACAAAGGGAAACAGACAGAAGCTGGAGCATAGGAAGTTCTGCACAAATGTGTGTAAGAACTTCTTTACGGTGAGGGTGACGGAGCACTGGAACAGGCTGCCCAGGGAGGTTGTGGAGTCTCCTTCTCTGGAGATATTCAAGACCCGCCTGGACGCCTACCTGTGTGACCTGGTGTAGGGAATCTGCTTTGGCAGGGGGGCTGGACTCGATCTGTGGAGTCCCTTCCAACCCCTACGATTCTGTGATTCTGTGAAATTGAAGTATACCTAGTAAGCTAAAATCACGGAGACTCTTAAACTTTCGTATCCATCTCTAAAGTGAGAAGCAGGAGAGAATGAGGATGGAACTTGCAGTATGTCCAGCAACCCATTTCTTGTTAAACCACCACTTAATCCACATTTGTGTGCTGTCTGTGATGCTACTTGTATAGGAGGGGAAATGTCTCTCTGTTCTGCACTCCACTGATTTCTCTTGCTTGTGGTCATGTGCGTAAATAAGTTCTTCTAACTACATTTGTTCTTCCTTGCAGGCACAGTTAGAAGGTTCCTGGAGGTTCACGGGGAGACTCTGGAGAAGGTTGTGTTTGCAGTCTCTGAGCTTGAAGAGGTATTTTCTTGAAGTTCATTCCACCGAAATTCATAGGCATGTGTGATCATCTCTGCAGCAGTATCAACTCCCACATGGTATTGGATTGGGACTCCCACTACAAATCATCCTGTCTCACTTAGACTCTGGTGGTGCAGTGTCCTGTCTCCTACTAGCATAGTATCTTATCCAGCACTGCTTGTATTTCTAGAGTCAGCGTGTTCACAGTCTTTCCATTTCTGGCTAGCCTGTTCCTGATTGAACAGGAGTCAGTACTAAGAGTTTATACTATATACTTGTGCTTAATGTGTTCCAGCAGCTAGAACACAGATTTCTTGTGCAAGGCTTGCTCCTTATACAGTGTTTTTGTCTTGTGCCTTTAAAAGATTGCCCTGGTTTCCAGTATAACTCACACACAAATCACATACAAACACCCTAAACATTGCTTGCTTGCTTGTTGAAGTAACAACCTTCATATTTCTTGACTTGTTTTCAGGTAGGTGATAACACTTTGAATATTTATTTCTTAATAAATATCAGACTTGCTAGTGGTTGTTCCTGTGGAGAACAACAGCACCATTCATATTGTTTCCTCTGGATGAGGAAAATAAGTAACTTAGTGGGGACTCATAGTGACCCACTTTAATATGAGCATTCTTTAAGTCTGTCATCCATGTAAATTCATTACAAAACAGAATTATCTACTTTCTACCCAAGTTCATGACTATAAAGCAGGATATTCTCAGGGTCACTTGCCAGTGTGGAAAAAAAAAAAAAAAAGAAAAAAAATAAAACTAACTTTAATAGAGGCTATCTGCTTTTTATTGCCAAGTAGCCGCCCAAATTAAGCATCCAGGGAAGCAGTGCTTTGCCTCCAGACCTCAAGGAAGCTCCCTGCTACAAGGGCAGGTGTTATACGTCTGAAGAGCAGGGATGCGTGGTGGACCTTCACGCATTTTTCTTATTTGTAGGCCACTTACCAGAAGTTGATGCCTCTGTATTTTCCAAGATCTTTGGAAGAAGAGATACAATCCTTGCCTTACCTCCCTGCAGATATTGGTAATGCAGAAGGAGAGCCTGTAGTTCCAGAACGGCAGATCAGGATTACTGAAAAGCCAGGTGTTCCAGATGGTGAGTTTTTAAATGAATTTTGGAATAAGGTCTCTATGTGGAAGACAGGGAAAAAGAGAAAAAGTGCATAGCAAGCAAAGAGATGTCTTGGATGAGGTGGTGTGGGAAGACAAATTGTAACAAGGAGAATTGTCAGGCTGCCTTGTAAGCTTTGCATGTTCCACAGCAGCAACTTCTGCTTCCTGCTTCACTGTGGAGAGTGACTGGAGGATGTGGTAAATCTGTTGTTTTGTCTTATTTTTTTTGGAGGGAGGGATAGGGAATTCATTCCTTCTGCAATTTTTCTCCCGAGTTGGTTAGGACTGTTTTTTCCCCTTCAGAATTGTACCAGTCCTTGACTGAAAGAAGCATTGTTGTTAATGGATTGTCACACACTATGTCTTGAAACATTGTCTGCATCTTGATCTGATTTTTGTTGTCGCTGCACGTGCATCAAAATAGTAGGTGCTTAATGAAAAATAGCAGTAACTCTCTAAAAGGTAGAGGAACTAAATAATTCCAGGTGTTTGAGAAGTGATTATCAAAAGCTTAGTGAGTGAATTCAAGTTGTAAAGAGGTTGCCTAGGTTTCAGGATTGGGATGTTGAGAGATGAAAATTAAAACAGTGTGAATGGGCTTAGCTGTCTTCCCTACTAAGTAGTCCTGTGAAAGGTTTGCACTTCAAGTGGGGCCTTAAGCTATGAAAAGCAAAGAATTTGGAGTAAGTTTAAAAGGTTTTCTGCTTTTGCATGGCTGGTAGCAATAAGGGTGAGTATGCAAAAAGGATAGCAGTAACTTAATTTTCCTGTTTGTGGTACGAGAAGTAATGTAGCCACTACTGTTCAGACTGCAGTTTCTTGTTTGTTTTCTTTTCCCCTCTCTACCTAAACCTCTGGCTAGTGATGTTTGCTCCTTTGACTGATTGCTGTGAGACATTCAACCACTGGCTAGCAACTTAGGAAATGTTTGGTTTGACATATATGGAGGCAAATGTGTAGTGGAATCTTGTTGCCTTTTCCCATTGTTAGTATAGCACGTCGCACTAGAGCTATGAAACTCAGTTTTTATCCAAACTGCCCAGAGAGGCAGTACCAGAAGCCTCAGCAGTTTTCCTTGAGGATGTCAAGTTCAGTGGAGCATTCTCATATTGTTAGCAGTGAGTGAGCCTGTGCTGTTGTACTTCATCTCACAGCCGGGTAGCAGATAACCAGACTCAGGTTATCAACTTGTCTACTGCCTCTGTTACAGTAGTATCAGTACAAAAGGAAGACTTGAGCCTTTCCTGCAGTACAGCTTCTAAACTGAATAAAACTGCAGCATGTGTCATTCTGCATGCTTACTTTTCCTCTTTTGACAGCTAAGACAACTGTAAACTCTAATTCACTCTCTCCAGACCTTATTTTTGAGACCTTATTTTTGGAGTCCTTCTGAGAGAGTTAACTGTCATTCCCTTCATTACAAGGGGTTAACTAGGACCTGCAAAGTTATTTTACAGACAAACCAACATCTTAAGGTTAAGTCTGTAGTTCTCAAGTATGTGTTACAATCATGGTACGTTGTGTTCTTTGTGTATCATGATGAATGGGTTGGCTCACTGAGATACAGCAATTCAGAAGCAGCACTGCTGTTTCATATGCTGCTTGAACATTTTATGCTACCTTTGTTTCTACTGCAGATGCTTCAGATGAAGAGGGGCTGGAGGCAGATTTGTCTTTCATTGGTTCCCATGCTTTTGCCCGCATGGAGGGAGATGTTGATAAACAGAGACGCCTCATCCTTCAAGGACAGCTGTCAGAGGCAGCACTGCAAAAACAGCACCAGAGGAAGTGAGAATTTCCTTGTCTGTGTGAATGTTTTGGGTTAGCTAGTTGTTCAGAGGTCCAACCTTCGTGTTCGTTTCGTTACCTGTTAAGTCTGGTTTCACCCTCAGTCTCAGTAGCAGCTTCTTTGTTCTGAATGGAATGGGTAGCAAAAGGCATGCCAGTGGATTCAATGGCTTTCCCAGTGCACTGGAACAGCTGGCTTGTCCTTTTGTCACTTCATGTCACTGCTTTGTCACCGCTCTGTGTGGTGGGGTCACTGGCGTTAGTATTGCCTGCTTGCTTCAGAGGCTCCGGGCAGCTAGCAGTAGTTTACCTCTTTGTCTCAAAGTAGAAAGATGAAAAAGCTGCAGTATCCATTTATTTCTTTTCTTGTTTATTTTCTTTCTATTCTGCCATTAAACTTAATGTACCTGACCACTTTCCAAGAAGCCAATCCAATACGAGAGATCTTGAGGAATGATGTTTGCCATGCCTAGTCAAATTGTTCACCACTCAAAAACTAAAGTAGTACCCATATATGACTCTGGTTGCTGCGTACAACTTTTAGACTCCTTTTCAAGAATTCTTCAGATTTTTTTAAAATGCTGGCACTTCAATGGAAAAATTAAAATGTTTTCAGCCCAAATGCAAAATCACCAGCAGTTGTGTATTGTGTACCAGCAATTGCATATTCAGTGCCCCAATAAACCTCATTAGATGAGTCCATGAGCACTTATTTTTTTTTTTTCCCTCCCTGACACTTCTTTTGCAATTTGAAAGAAGCCCCATTGGTCAGAAATTCATGTTAAGAGAGATCGCTCACTGAGTTTTTTATCCTTCCCTCCATATACTTCTTCAGGCTTTTAGTGCCAAAGGGGGAGGACTAGATTTGACCAGATGTCTTTTTTTTTTTCTAGTTACAATCGTTGGCTGTGTCAAGCAAGAGCTGAAGACCTCTCTGACATTGCTTCCCTTAAAGCCTTGTACCAGACAGGTGAGTTCAAGGTACTGATGACTAATGTATATTGCCATAGAATAAAAATACAAAATAGAAATGTAACATTTTCTGTTTGAGTACAACATATAGTATCATTGAGCTAGGCCTAGTGTAGTAAAGTGGGTGTTCTCTCTTAATTGACTTTAGAACACTGTGTGGTAAACTCCCAAAGAGCTTCTCTTTAACAGGCAGAGGATACTTGCATGTTCTAAATTTATCTGCAGAATGTAACCAGTAACGTTCTGCAAGGAAGAATGAACTCAGTGGAAATGGGAATTTGAACAACAACAAAAAAAGTAATGTTCTCTGGCTAGTTCAGCAACAATTATAGAGAATTGCAGTTATGCTTTCTTGCTGGCGGTTTTTGATGTAATAAGTACCATTAGATTAAACCAATTTATAAGATGCTCTGTGTGAGGTAATTCATTGTCTGGTCTGAATAACCCATTTTCTTGCAAATAAATGAATGTTGCTTTCAAGTGATTAATGCAGAGAATAAACAGTAACCAAAGCAGCTTTTGATGAAGTTTCTCTGAAGAAAGTCTTGTTTCTTTTCCCTCCGTTTGGATTTGAATCACTCTTTCCTGCATGCTCCTTACAGCACTACTGGCATAGTAACCTGAGAAGTATATCTTATAACCTTGAGTTTGGTAGATATGGAAATTAGGGAGAGAATGAACAGTCCTGATGAGTTTGGTGGAAAGTATTAGCTGCTAGGTCCTCGCAGCATGGGAAGCAGAAATACCTTCTTGTTCTTTTTCTTTAGGTGGTGTCACATTTGGAGGTGAAACTTGCTGGTCCTAGTGGCTTATTACTGCTTTGCATCATGACTGAAAGAAGCAAATAGTCAAGCTTTTAAAATCATAGTTGTGTCTACATAGCCAGGGGCTCTACAGAGAAATTCTACTCAAAACTTTTGCCTCCTGAAACTCCAGATGCTTACCATCATCTTTGTACAAATAGCAAGGCTGTGCAATACTTTCCACTTTTAATTTTTAATTATTTTGTCTTAGATAAGGCATGTTTTAGGCTGGTATTTCTTGATTTAGGTAAATGTCATGTGCACAACTGATGTAAAATTATCTTCCTTGATACTTAAGTTTCTAGGATATGATGCAACTGCCTTTTCTAGACCAGCATAGGTACTGGCATAGTGAGAAGTAACTCTAGCATACTTCCTCTGATTTCTGAGATAGAAACCAGATGCATTGTGAAAATTCTGAGTTGTGTTTTCCTGGTTTAAAAAAGGAACAACTTAAGAATCAGACATGGCTGGGAGATGTTTCATTGTGTTATTTTTTTCTTGTAGGTGTGGATAACTGTGGCCGCACAGTGATGGTAGTTGTTGGAAGAAATATCCCTGTAACGTTGATAGACATGGAAAAAGTAAGACTTTGTAAAATTTAAAGTTGTGTAGTTTGAATATGAATGTTCAGAATTTGAGAGTCAGGTTACAAGAGTAACTTGGAGTTAATACTAGAAGTGTTATCTGTAGATGGCTTAAATGAATCATAGAATGCTCCAAGTTAGAAGGGACACAGAAGGATCATCAAGTCCAACTCCTGGCTCCACACAGGACTACTTAAAAATCAGACCTTACATCTGAGAGCATCATTCAGAGGCAAGCTCAGTGCCATGACCACCTTACTTCCCTGGGGAGCCTGTTCCCATGTTTGACCGCTCTCCTGGCAGAGAACCTTTTCCTGATATGCAGCTTGAACCTCCCCATTGCAGGTTCATGTCATTCCCTAGGGTTCTATTGCTGGTCACCAGGAAGTGTAGATCAGTGCTTGCCCCTAAAAACAGGGTAACTAAAAAATATTTACCTAAACAGATCAAAACTTATTCCCCTATGTAATTTTGTGTATTTTGGGATGGCTTTTCTGGAGAAGGAACTGGACTGTGTTCAGAGAAACATGCCTTACATTAACTGATTCTTCTTCTCAAAGAGACTCACCCTGCTTCTGTAACTGGAAAACACAAAGTTAAACGTAACAAGTCAAAATAGTTTTTCATGAAAACAGCAGGAATTTATCTGTCAAGTGAGGTAGACCAAAAAAGGCATTCAAATGACTGCAGTCAAGTTAAAGATTCGGAATATTCACCTTGCTTTTGTAGCTCAAACAGAACACCATGCAGTTTCATAATTTCTTATCTGTGAATGAATTAGAAGAAGCATATTAAAATATAATGCAACTGTGAAGGAATTTATTTCTTTGCAAATAATTCCATCTTTTTTTTTTTTTTTCCATTTCAGGCTCTTCTGTATTTCATCCACGTCATGGATCATATTGCAGTTAAGGAATATGTCCTAGTGTATTTCCATACGCTCACAAATGATTACAATCAACTAGATTCTAATTTCTTGAAGAAACTCTATGATATTGTTGATGCCAAGTGAGTGTCAATATGAGAATAACCCTACTGTTCTGTGCAAATGTTTGCCATTCCTTTTACCTGTTTTCCCATTTAGTTATTGTGCTGGGGCAAAGATCTGAGTAACAAAAACAAGAAGAAGGGATATTTAAACTTTTCAGCTCAGAACTATATTTGAAATCAAGAAGCTCTGTTCTCTGCCATCTCCTATCTGTAGCTGTTACAGAAATAAATGTATGGGGTTTTTATTGTCTCTCCAGAAGTGGAGCTTTCGGAGCCTGACGTCATTAGAAGTATGTTTCTAGTTGTGAAGGAAGAGGCTTGGGTAACGTTGGCAGTCATAAGTTGTCCATAACTTTTACTGTCCACAAAAAAGATGATAGGCTATGATAATAAAAACTAATAATTCTGTTTTTTTGCTTTGCATTTAGTCCTAATATGTGCCCTTGCTTATACAAGATCTAGCTTTTTAAAATGACAGCACAGGCACTTAAGCAAAATGATCTATGTTTTGACAGTTGCTGTCTCAGTGAACATAATTAGATATTACTTCTAAAGAGCTGTTTTTCTTTTTTTAAACCAGGTACAAAAGGAATTTGAAGGCATTATATTTTGTCCACCCAACATTTCGTTCAAAGGTGAGGTATATAGTAGAAAGAAGAAAAAACCAAAACATTTTGGATATTGGCAGAGTAGCATGTAAAACTGTAGTGTAAGGAACGTAAGTTATATAGAGGCTTTCAAAATTAGACAATATCTTCTGACTCCAGGAACAGAATTTGAAATTCATTTCTTCCTTTGATCTAGCTGTAGTCTTCCAGCCTGCAGTGCAGTGCAGTTGTCTTGTTCCTGTTTTGCTGTGTATATCCTTAACAGAGAAATGTGTCAAGCAGCAATGAGATTAGTTAGGATTATAGAGTGTGTAGTAGCAAAGGGAAGTGGGAATAATGCTTTTGTCATATGGAGAACTGAAAAATCCTGCCTGTCCTTTCCAAGATGAAAAACTGGTCAAACTGTAAGATGCTATCCTTTGCTATGACCTGTGTGGGGCAACAGAAGATGGCGCTCTCTTTCTTCTGTATTTTGCATTTATGTGACTACTTCAGATGATCTGAGTGTCAGGCAGCAGCCCTTCCGAAAAAATTTTTGTCCTACTAAAAGATTAGAAATATGATCCTCCATGTTCACATCAAGTGTATTTGTTCTACTTTTTTTTTTTTTTTGCTGACATTGATTAAAATGTGATAAAACTATGTTTCTACATATTCAGCAGGGATTTCTCAACTGCTGATTTTCTGAAGATTCTGTTCTTTTTCTGTGTGTACAGCTGGGACACTGTGAGACTTGGAGCTTCTTGTCTTTACACAGATGAGATTGCAGCCTCCCAGCAGTGTATTTTCCATTTTCTGTCAGGATTATTATTTGTTTTCCCCCTATACGTATCTGAAGTCTGAGTGATAGAATTAGAGCTTCCAGCTCTGATGCTTCAGAAAATGAATGAGCAAATAGCATTACTAAGGTCACAAAACTGAGTGGAAAAGCTGAAGCTGGGAAATGCTAGTGTTCCAGGTTCTCAGCAGTACATTACCCCCCTCCTCTCTTCCTGTGCAACTCTATTTGATTGGGAAATGTTTTATGTTGGAGGATGGGAAGTCATGTTTACCAGTCCATTGCCTTTTTTTTTTTTTTGTCCCTTTGAGAAAAGCAATGGAACTCTGCAGATCTACAGGACAAGCAGATAGTTGGCAGAAAGCAGGGAGGATGAGAAAGACAGAACTCTCTGACTTGCTGGAAATTTAATTGGTTTGTACCCAATTCTAGCAGTACAGCTGGAGATAAAAGGATATGTCAGTGTCATCCTGACAAGCCTTTTCTTCAACTGAAAGGCAAGAAGGATTGCTGCTGGCTGTTGCAGAGACAGCCTGCTTACGAAATATGATATAGGATATGCAGTAGAAAGTCCTGGTGAAGATGGTGACTGCTAAAAAGCTGTATTGAATCCTGGAACAATGAGTTGGTGCTGTCTTTTACAGTTGCAGTGTTTATTTCTGTGCTAAAAGAGATAAGAGAGACTTGGAAATTCACATATCCCTAGAAAACAAGCATTGTTCTGAATGTACTTATGTATTTCATGGTGCCAAGTAAAATTGTTTGGTTTCTAGATATGAAACTGTTTTAAATTATGTATATTCCAAGGCTGACTGCTTATCTATAACACATGGTTTTAAGTATGCAGGGTTTAGCAGTTTCTCAAAAACACAAAGAAGTAGAAGCAGGATATGTGTCTACATATCCCTACACAGTCAGTTTTTGTAGGTTAATTCTGCCTTTTGCTTTGATGTGAGCATTTCTATGGTCTGTGAGGAACTCGATTCTCTTGTAGTGGTTTTGGAAAAGAGCAATTTTTACTATGAAATCACACAACAGGCAACAGTAACAAATGTTACTTCATATAACTAGAAGGGTTCCTGACTTCCATCGTGAAAAGTTTTCCTTCATTCATGAAGGGAAAATGGATTAGATGGATTTCCAGTTATTTGGGGGGGTATTTTGTTTTTAGGTTATCACAGTTGTTGCTGAGTGACAACTTGTGGTAAGATGCCCTTGAATTACTATACACTTTACTCTTGTACATAAATGTTTTTGCTCTAGCTGTCTCCATGCAAATAAAGGGATCTTTAGGGCATCTTTTTTGTGAATTCTCTCACTTCTCCATTCATCCAAACAAAGCTTTCTGGAAGCTGGTGTGTTATGAGTGAAGCATTAGTAGGTGGTTTTTGAACAACCTTGCCCAGAGAAATTGTTTACATAAGCTTAAATTGACTGTGATTTTTAGAATGTTTCAAAATTGAAACACACAAATTAATATTCATAATTATCATATTCATTTTCATTATGAGCAATTTTTGTCTTGTTTTTTTGTAATGGTCATAAAAGCCATTTCTGAAGATCAAAAATGTATATAGAGGTTGTTGCAGATTACTTGCAGCTTTTTTGACACAAGATTTTTTTCTTGTAATAAAACTTTTAGGAGAAACCTATTACAATAGAAGATTATGACCCACCTGAGAGACAGCATATTTTTCTCTGTTCTATGCTGTTTTCTGGAAGGAGGAAAAAGAATTGATACTTTTAACCATGTGGTTTTCTAAAGTAGAGAAAAGTAGAAAAGGGAACTTAAATTGGCAGCTAGGGAGGAGCTAGTATGGAATTGGACAGCACTAGCTTTAAAGCTGTGAAGCTTGCTAGGAAACAGTGGTGTGTACTGTCTGACCTTGTGTTATTGCAATTATATCAGTGCCTTAGTTGTAACTCAAGCCTATTTTTGAATATTATATTGAATGGTAAGGTTTTGAAACAGCACCATCTTAATTAGTTTTTGTTTGGGGTTTGTCTTCAGGTCTCAACATGGTTTTTCACTACCTTTACTGTCTCAGGGCTAAAGGACAAGATCCACTATGTGGAAAGCCTTCAGCAGTTATTCACAGCCATACCTCCAGAACAGATTGATCTCCCTCCTTTTGTTCTTGAGTATGATGCCAGGGTGAGTGATTTCATGTGGCAAGTATGTCTGTGCTCCCAAGTGTACTTATTGTGTATGTCTTGTTCTGGTCAGCAAAAGCTTTTAAAGGCTTGATTTCCACATCTTAAGTATGAGGAAAGGAAAGAGAGAGTCTAGTTGTTCTGTATTTTGTATGTAATCCAAGGAGTGGGCTTGACCAAGAAGCAGACTTTGTTCCCAATAGTTTTAGCCTCTTGTGTGCATAAGAGGGAGTGTATTTCTTCAGCCAAGAACCATAGCTTAACATGCTAAGAGCCTGTCTACAATATGTAACTTGTCATGCATATACTATATAATTTACACATATGTTTTAAAAAAAAAAGAAACCCTGTTTTTTTTCTTTCCTATGCCATGTATCAAGTACATGGCAGGGGTGAGTGGGGAAGCAGCAAAGAAAAGTGGAAATCAAGTTGGGAACCTTGCCACAGCATTGGTTCTTCCTCCTTTCTTCCCCATTTCGGGTCTCTACCCAAATGGTGGAATGAATATGGTTTCCACTGCCCAAGTTAATTCAAACAAGTTGTGTTCTAAATACAAAGCAACAGCCAGAGCTGCATAGGCAACTTTGTCTTGAACTGAATAACTTGCTTTCCTGGCATATGTGTCTTCCTTGCATCATAGTTGTGGCTGAATTTTTGACCTGTTGTTTTTGTTTAAAACAAAGGCAAAACCAAGGCCTGTTTTTGCCTGATCACCAACACAGTCCTGTCCTTGGTGAGTTGTGGTCACTGTACTCATGGAAGAAGCAGTCAGTACCTGTTTGTTTTTGTCTCTGTATTAGCATTTGTTACACTGAGGTGTATTGGAGAAGGTTTTTGTTCAACTACTTATTCTATTCTCATTTCAGGAAAATGGGCCTTACTATTCCTCGTATCCTCCATCCCCTGACTTGTGATCTGCAGTCCTGCAATGCTGTTGGTTTCCCATGGATCCAATGACCTGATGTCTGCCAAAACCTGTGCATTTGCCCACAGAATTCAGAGAGAGGGTTTTCCTCCCCCAGCTCTGGTATTTTTTTACTGATGAGATATTTTCAAGCACTCAAGCAATCAGAACACTTTATGCCACTGTGAACTGTACAACTATTTCAAATATATTTATCCAATGGAAAAGTTGATTTTTTTTTTTTTGGATCAGTATTTTATTTTCTTCTTTTTTGAAGCTGTTACATTTATTCCTGAACAGATTTTCTCTTTTCAGGGAGATCCATCATCAAAAACATTTGATTGTGTTTGTAACTTATAATTTTCCACATCCATTTGTAATACCTGTTTTTGACTGGTTTGTACAAATATTGTGCAGTACCAGCCTGACATGTTGCTCATTATATGGTTTCTATGCTTTCAGGTCTGGTCACTTTCCCTTTTGGTTAGTGATGATTACTTTGGTTTTGATGCAGCAAAAGTACCTGAAATTGGGAATACCGTGTTTGCAGGCTGAACAGAACACTGCAGCCAAGCAAAGATTACTGCGGCACTTAATACCATAAATGCTGACTGAGCTAGGAGCCTGATGGATCCCAGTCCATCTTCAGTGAATGATGTGACATGTCAGGATGCCACTACCCTCCCAGCAAGAATAAAGTTGAAAAGCATTTACACTTCCTTTACTTCTAGAGTTCTTCATGTCTGCTTTGAAATGCCAGATGTGTTTCTATGATAAATGAGAAGCATCTTTCTGAATTGGTGAAGAGGCCAAATGGTTTCTTAAAGATATCAGTGTTCCTTTTACTTCTTGATATGCTGTTTTATGTATTACACTGTATGACATCTGCTGATTTTGACAGACACAGTATACAAGAGTGCAGCATCTGCTGATTTTGACAGACACAGTATACAAGAGTGCAGCAGTGATATTTATGGAATTGGATGTTAAAAGTATATCAGCTGCCAACAGAACACTGAAAGAATAGGGAGAAGGCTCCTTTAAAAATATCATCAGAGAGGATGGAATCCACAGTAGGAAGAATGTCACAAAAGTTCTGAGTATGGAATGTCGTCATGAGATCTTGTAACATGGTTAGTCTGAAAACATTTCTCTCCCAAAGCACTGTATGTTGTTTGGATAAATAGGAAAATAATTCTCCCTTGATTTTGATAGTGTAATTGTGTGTCACAACTTGTTTGCACTTCGAGGGTTTTGGCTTTCTTGTATTAGGAGTACAGTGGAAGGTGGACTGTACTGAGTTTCCTTTCTCTCCTGCCTTGGCCTCCTTTTGGCTTGATGTTATGTTTATGCTCCATATACCCTCAGCATGTTGGTATGTCACTTACAGATGAAAACTTGGCTGGGATTTAACAGTCATGTACATACAACTTAATGGTGCTTTTCTAAGTGACCACCAGGATCTTTATGTGATTCCATTATCAGGTCTAAGGTGCTGTGGAAGGCTGGAAACTGTAGCACAGTGGAAACCACCTTGCTGTTAATACGTGGATTACAAATGCTTCTTTTGACACTTGTCTGTTTTTTGAGAGAGGAAAATAGCAGCAGTCAAGCTGGAGCAGCTACCACATGTCCCTAACCTCCTTTCACCTAGCTGTTTACAGCTGCCCTTGTCTCCTAACTGGTTTACAGCCAGCAGTGAATTTTCCATGCCTCTCTAACGATTTGTATAGCTTTCCACCCCCATTAACCATCTGCTGTTTTTCACACCCATGGCATTTTCACCAGGACATTTGCGAAATAGCTAGTGCCCACTTAATAGGCACATTAAAGGTGATTCAAAGTGTATTGCAAAAACAGAGCTCTCAGCTTCATCAGTTGAGGCAGTCCCTATGCCTTTAGTTCACAGATGGCTCAGAGTCATAAGACCTGAACACTTTTTCTTAGGACTCTGTCTGCACGTTTTTCAGACCCGAGCCCAGTCATCTTAAGAAATTATTTGGCTCAACATAGTGCAAAACTGTCTCTGGTGCACTTGTAAAGTGAAAAAGGAGATCTTGGCACTGTGTATCTTATTGTGTATATTTTTCCCTTGAAGGAACTTTAATTTTTTTAATGCAAGTCTTACATATCTGAGTAGCAGGACAGACCAGCACTGTGCTGTGAAAATCATGCTTTTTTTCAGTGGATCTGCATTTGTGATGATTTACCACTTGTATTTTTACTGGAGCCTATTAGAACTAATGTGTTATGGGGGGGTGAAGGGGAAAGGGGATCAAATCACTGAGGATCTCGGGTTATTCAATATAATTAAAATAATCCTAATATACAAACTGTATCTTTTTAGGCTGAGATAAACACTGGCATACCATAATTAAGGGCGGATACAATGTGCTCATTTTAGAGAGACCCAAGAGCACGCTCTGCACATCTTAACTCTTAGTGTTTTAACAACCCTACCCACTGCAGAATTATAACTCCTAATGAAAGCTTTATGCCTTGCTTAGACTATTTCAAACCATCTGTAGGCTTACAGAGGGAGTCACCATAGGGAAGCATATTACTATAATTATGTGAGTATTGTTTTTGCTGCTGTAACTCCCTGTGATGTTGACATTAGACTGACACAGTTACTGTCAGTGAAACTCACATGCAGCGCTTAGGCACTTATTTGTTATTAGCTATACCTCTTCTGAAAGCATCACACATTCCCTTACTTACACTGTTTTTAGATGTCTTTGGGGCCAGTTTCTGGCAAGCTGATGCCTTACTACAGTCAGGTGATTCAATCAAAGTCTTTCTGATTACTTGCTGACATTGGCCAAACTGAATTTTAGAGCAATTACCAAAGTGGTGAAAGGTAAAGCATTTGGTAGCTGCTTCTGTTCTTCCTGTTGCTTTCTTCTTATGCAGCTGCTGTCGGGAATAGGAAGTGGCAAAGAGTTGAAGGCAAAGTCAGAATGTCAGGTTTGTGCAGGAGATTGAGGTGGCATGTATTTGTCATGTATGTTTGAAATTGAGCTGCTCTTTTCCTTCATTCTCCTGCTTTCTTAGAATGAAAACAGCTTCTGAGTCTTTCTGGCAACTTTGCTTCCCTCATAGTAGCCTAAAACCTTGTTGGTTTTTTTTGTCGTTAGTGCCTCTGTTGCCTTGTCTTTGTCTTGAATTAGACCTCCTCTCTAGTCTATTCCTGAGCACTTATGTGGCTGCAGTGCTGCAAAGGATTAGCATCCAACTGCTGAGACCAGACGCTCCATGTGAAATTAATTTAGATGGCTCTGCTATTCAGCAAGCTGATATCAGCCTTTCTCCTTTGTGAAAGTGAAAAACAAGAGTAAATCTTGTTTCTCCCCTTTCTTTGGCCTCTCTAGGATGAATCCTATTAAATCTGTGACCAGGCAACAGAAGCAATAGTCCCCATTTGAAAATTGTTTGCACCTCTAAGTATATTACAGACATTCCTGATTATTTTGATTCTGGTTAAAGGGATCTTAGTGAATTCTGTTACAAGTGCAGGCTTGGGAGAGGAAGGGACACTATTCAGCTGCATTTGGGGGAGTAGTGTAGGAAGCTATCTGAAACAGCTCAATATGTGATCCTCCAGGGCCAAGGAACTCAAACCTTAGTATGTAGCAACTGTCCCAGTGAATGTATTTTTCAGTCTCCCATGAGAAAAGGGATTGGCCCCAAGTTAGATAAATGACTGTGTACCCAAACCGACAGCCTCTGCATTAAGATCAGATGAGGGCATGGATGAGCTAAAGCAACCCTGAACTGCAGTGGAGCAATGAGAAACAAGCAAACCTGCTGCAAAAAGCTATGTTCTTTCTAAGCTGACAAAGAAAAAAAAAAAAGATGTTTTATGCTTCAGTGCTAGGATACAGAGCCCTCTCAGTTTGCATGCTTTAAACAAAAGCAAAGTATGGGGTGGTGGGTGAGTGTTCTGTCTCATGGGGTTCTTCCTGGGGAGAAGGGTGGAATGCTTTGCAAAGGTGAGGGATGGCAAAGAGCAAATGACTGAAACCCTAGGCCTTTTGCAGCATAGGGTCTGACTCCTTTGACTACCAGCTACCTTTCTGATAAGCTTTCAACTACTTGATTCTAGAATCTCTCCAAAATATTTCAAATGACAAAACCATTCACAGCATGTATAAGTGGCAAAATTGCCAAGATTCCTAATACAATTTAGACATAGCTAGGGGGGAGGTGGCTGTGCTTGGAAGGACATTATGTACGAAAACGAGGGGAAGGGGATTGTATCGGATGATCCACAGCAGCCTGGCTGCCAGCATAACATCTGTTTTTAATTGGCTAATCAGATCCTGTTTTAAGCCTTTCTCAGCTGTGCTTCCCTTGAAAACCAGATTTCTCATTGAGATGATGCAGGACTGTTTGAAATTTCAGTGCAGTTGAAACAAGAACAGTAAAGCTCAAAATGTACTGTGTGCTTAACACTTTCACCTAAATTTTATGGGAACCCCCTAACCTAGCTGAGATGTAGACAGCAGACTCTTCACTCCTCCAGTCTATCAGAAAAGCATTCTATGCTTTTTGGGAAGTGAAGACAATAAGTAATAAATGCCCATCCCTGTGTTGTGAAAGGAGGAACTTCTGAGGCATTGTGCTTCAATGTCTTCTAATACTGATGCTTCTGGGTGGGGCTGTTTATAGGAATGAGATCTGCTTTGCAACCAAGAAGTCACTAATGGTACATGAAGCCTGGGCCAGGTCTTAGAGAGACTGTCTGACTAAGTCTGAGAGGAAAAGGGCCTCCACCTGGATGTGAGACAGCATCCATACCCAACCTGCATTGTGTTCACGTTAGTAATCACAGCCCTGACTCATCACTGCCTGCAGGGAGCTGCTGCTTATGTGATTTTCAGATCACTGATCAAGTTTGCTGCAGGAAAGTGAAGAGCTCGATCTCAGTACTTTGAGAAGGTCCTGTAGCTCACTGAGAATGTGGGCAGCAAATGCTTAAAAGAAAGGGTCAGCATGATCATTTTGCTCTTACTAGTTTCATTGTTTTGGGGATTTTTTTTTTTTTTTCTGGAAAGCAATCAAAAGCAGTTTTTTAAAATGGCTGATATAATCATTGACCTTTTAATAAAATCCTGGAGTGATATGCTTAGCATCTCTGCTGGGACTGAGCATGTGGCCTGTCACAAAGCTGTATGCTATATGCTCTGCGTACCCCTGGCAGCAGATACCCTGTACTGTGCAGCTTTTCCCTACAGACACATGTGCCTGGCACCTTCAGGAAAAGAGGTTCCTGTGAGACTGGAATGCTTTGGCAGGGAGGGCCTGCATGGTTGCCATCAGCCTGAATTGTGTATGCCCTGACAGATCAGGATCTGCTTGGTCAATTAGACTTGGTGCAATCAGACTGCAGCCAGGCCTTTCACTTTACAAAAGGTACTGAGGTGACATTCACAAGTATGGCTGTAATGCTGAGCTGAATGACTTTATTGACAGGATTGTTCACAACTGAGTCTTGTTCACAAGACTGCTTTGATTCCTGTTGTGGCACTGGGAATGGTAACAAACTCATGTACTGTAAAGCAATAGTGCACAAAATGAGATGGACAAATCAATACGGTGTCAGTGGGACTAGGTGCACATCCTGCAGAATACACCAAGCGTTGTCCATTTGGTAGACTGCACTTATTTCCTGGAAAGACCTAGTTTCAAACTCGATTTCACATTCTCACCAGAATATTTGCACAACAAGGAGGTTGTAACTTACATGAATTAAAAGGTTAAAAGCAGCAGTTAGCTCATGTAACTACTTGGATGCACTGAGGCATTGCTAATACTTTGGCAGAAGAAGCTGTATTTACATCATCTGAATAGGTCTGCAAGCAAGATGTTACCCTGTCTGCCCAGGAAGGTCATTTCAAAGGTGTCTTTGCATATTGAAGGCTAACCAACACTGTGCAAGAACAGGGAAGGTGCACTGTGGCCCCTTGACTGTATTAGTAATGCAAGAAAAGGGAATGCTTGCCTGGCATTTGTTCTACAAATTCTCTGACTCACTGATCCAATGACAGACTCTTCACTGGCTCTTGCTGAGCTGGGTTTCTGCTGGAGCAGTGAGCTGGTCTAACTGGTGGCCTGCTGGATTGAACACAGGAAATGGCAAAAGTTATGTTTGGGACAGGTGGATTCATAGCAAATGGATCTACTCTTCTCATTATCTGCTATCAGTAGTAACAGGCTAAGCATAATCAAACGCTACTCTCAGCCTCATACATCCTGTGCAGTCTCAAGAGTTCCTAAAGTCTTCGTGATACATCAGCAAGAGGTGAGGGCCCAGAGATAAACCAGTTACAGGAGATTCCAAAAGACTCACTGAGTCAGCATGGCAGGCTCTGATCCAAGCGCAGAAGAGCAGAGGAAAAAAACTCAGACCCCAGAGTCATTCAGCAATTGTATCATCAGCCAGTGCTTAGACATGTCCTGTTCAAGCAATGTTGTTTGTACTTGAGAATCTTTTTGAACAAAATTCTGTTATAGTGGCATAGGACACAGAAGCACTTTTAAGGGACTGACCAGGAATATAAATAAAATTTACAACCTGTTAAGTTACAACCCCAAAGGAAAATACACAGAGATGTTCTGCAGTCTGGCTGGTGCAATAGCAGCCACCAGTGAGATCTGCTCATGTGCTGACTGGGGACAGATAATCCAAGGGGTGTAGGATAGGTAGCTGATATGAGAGTGTACCAAGACCCAGAGAAGATGTTGGTGTAGTGTTTGTGCAGCGAGCAAACTGCCCTTTCAGATATTTCTGGAGCCACTGATGCAGATAGGCAAATTTTCCTCTGCTGAATCGCATTTAAATGTTTCACTTTACACTCTGTGATCATCACTGTTATCATTAGCAAGCAAAACCAGTTACACAGTCATTACAGGAGGAACAGTGAAGAAATATTTCACAATTAGCAGGGAACTTTCAAAGATAAATGCCGTTAAAAACAGATGGGCTGTCCACTGCAACCTCCCCTCCCACCCCATCCTCCAGGGGCACATTTCCAAGGGACCTCAAAGTGCAGTAGAACAGCTGGTTTGGAAAGGTATTCTTTGGTACTTGCTGTTGGATGCAACTTCTATTACAGTTGGATGCAAGATATATTACTGATCCATATAGACAGCAAGCTGTAGAACTGAAAACAGTCTTTAGACCTGTGGAAATAATACACTGCAGAGCCAGCAGCAAGGCTTTCTGATGAGCCTTGGTGAGCCTGGACACAGCCCTGAAGCAATGCTGTGGCATGGAAATGCACTGCAATCCTGGAGCAACCAGCCAATACAGGCAGCAAACCACTGCTATCCCACAGCACATCTTGGCGCAATTTTAATCCGTTATCGTTAAGTACATTGACTCTGGATGCTTCTTGAGGCTTAGGGTTTGGCCTTGTTTCTGGATTGCTTATTTTTTGTGGAAAAAGACAAAGCTGTTTAGGAGCCTCTGAACTTATCCAGCACTCTCTGATGTGCTGCAGGGTCCAAGACTGGGTGCACGCCTGCACCGTAACACTGTGGGATCAATGAAACCGTGCCATGATTTTGAGCTCACACTGTTCCAAGCCCTCCATTTCCAGCTGCCAGCATCCTGCACAGTCTAAACAGCAACAGATTTGCTGTGTCTGGCAAATCCCAAGAGAAGAGAAGCTGTGGCAGCTCTAGGACAGTGACAGCGTTTGCACACCAAGCCAGAGTGAAAGTCTTTGCCCTTGGCACTGGAACAAGCCATAACAAGAAGCAGCCCACCCAAGCATTCGAAGAACAAATGCACCAGGAGACTCCTCTGCTCTGATCAGCTTCCAACCAGCTCAGCCGCTTAGGAAAAATAATAAGCCAGAGTATATGAGTAATTTTCAAATGCACTGTTGTGTAACCTCATGTGTGGCTGCTGGGAGGGGAGGGCAGAGGCAGTGCTTGGACTGCTCCCGCAGAACCAAGCAGCACAACATGGAACCTGGAGTGCCCAAAGAAGGCCTCCATTCCTTAGGGAAGATGTGGGAGCAGGGCAGGGATGAGGGGACAGAGTGCTTCATTTCCCAGGGTCCCAAAACCTACTTTTAACCTGGTTGCAGGTTAAAACCTTCATGAACTCAGTTTATTGTCATAATGTGCAGAAGGGTACAGCACTCTGCAGGCTGAAGGAATGGTCAGGAGCGCAGCATGTAGAAACTGGGGGGTCATTCTGGAATCATGGAATGTCCCTCTCCCCAGCCCTCCCTTGTTGGCCATTCTGCCAACCTCAGCTTGTCACATGAAGTGCACCTGCCTACCCCTAGATGGGTCATGGGCAGCTGCTTAAATCCACTGAGAAAATGAGCTAGAAAGTCCAGGGTCACTACTGCTTTGCCAAGAAATTGTCTCCAAACTATCTGTTTACTCATTGCTCTGCAAGGACACCAGTTAAAGACAGCAGCAGCACGGTGAACGGGGAGATGTTGCTAAGTGTGCAAGGTTCCTGAATTTGATTCTATTCCTATTTGCTGTTGGGCTTTTGCTTTCTGCTCCATTAAAAAAAAAAAAAAAAAAAAAAAAAGCAAAGATAGCCAAGAAGATTCTTATTATTGTGTTATGTTTATTTTTAGGGTCTTTTTTTCTCATGGATTTGTGTTTTTAGTCTTGAACTGGGTTCTCTTTCCATGACCTGCTTTCCTAATGTTTTGATCCTCCACCCTGTTTTTTTGTTGGAAGATGGTGAGATAAGGATAGAGATGGAAACTATCCTTTTCTAACCAAAACAGCAAACAAACTTTGAATTTTCACATAAAACACCACCTTCCGACAACTTGTCAGACATCTGGAGGCGAACAGCTGCTATGAGAAACCAACA